GTTTAAATCCACGTCTACATAGAAAAGGATCCAAAAACAAATCCACAAATATTAATTTTATCCAAAAATTTACCAACTACATTATACGTGTTACACTACCCAATCACGTGACATAGTTGATAATCATAATAAAATTATGTTCTGTTCTGTAATGGAAGAGAAAGAACTATATTTTGTGGAATAATATTAATATTAACCAAAAGTCTGTAGAATGATTTTGTGGTATTGTAATAACACTAAGGTGTTTGAAGTGTGGTATACAAATATTTAAAGAAAATTTATGACGTTAATTTGAAAGTTACAATATAGAGTGTTATAGTATGGAAATTGATTTGAATGTTACAATATTGAATTTAAGTTTTTTTGTTACAATATAAAAGTTACTCTGAAAGTTAATTTGCATGTTCATTTAAATGTTACAATATAGAAGTTATTTGAATGTTATTTTATAGAAGTTTATTTAAATATTACAATACAGAAGTTTATTCAAATGTTACATTATAGAAGTTAATTTGAATGTTACAATATAGAAATATATTTGAATGTTGCAATAAGGAAATTAATGTGAATGTAACAACATCAATGTTAATTTGAATGTTACATGATAGGAGAGCAAATGTTACAATATGAAAGAAAATGTTTTGATTATTTATTATTTAACCAGGAAAATTTCTTGAAAGTTACATCAGACTGTTGTTAGATTATTAAAACATATCTATAATAATATGATAGTGCTTGTTTTCATATCAACATTTTCACGGGGGAGGAAGTGTTACACGAAGGATGGAGTTCTTATGATAACTTGTTCAGGAGTTCTTGTGATAACTGTCACGGAGTTCGTCGGAAAACATCTGTATATACTACAAAAACACTCGTTAAAATGGTTATTTTCATCGTTCAAAAATGAGTTTTAGGTGCTAAATTAAACTTTAATGATTAAGCTTGTCTTACATCTTGTATTATGTGTCAAAGCCTATTTCACATGCCATTTTTAATCGCCTCTTGCTTCAAATCTGGTAGTTTTCAGTAAAATTTCGAAATAACTTGCCAATTCACAAGTTTTGACCTGTTTATATTGGTCTTCATCCTTGCAACACATAATTTACTAATTATAATGCAAAATTGCAATCATAAAGCACCGGCTAACAGATTTATAGCCGATTTTTCAAATGTTCCGGAGTTCTTGTGATAACTCTGAAGATGTCACAGAGTTCTTATGATAACTTTTGTTATTGCCAGTGTGTTTCTTGCGCTAAAACACAGCACGTTTTGGCGTTTATTATTATTCAATAAGATTGTAAATCATAATGAAATGCAGTACGATCATCCTTTGCACAAAAATGTAGATAAAAAGTTGGTCTTAAGTGTCTGCAAAGGATAAATAGCTGAATGGCTATCATCTACAGTCAAAATTGAACCAGCGGTCACTGATATTCAGCAGGATAATTGCTTAAACCACAAAACAAAAATGTCTCAAAACGTACACGTTGTTCTCAGTTTCACATGTTTTAAGCAACCACCTTTCTTAAGCAGACTATATATAGGCATGCTTCCCTTACCTAAGGGCTAAGTAATTTGTATCATTTTATACCATAATAAATAAGTATATAACCAGGATAATTTTCACACCTATGTCTTAAAAAAGTACGATACATGTTAAACAACCGATTTTTCGAACAAATTTAAACTGTCCCTCCAGGTTCAAGCGAACTAAGTTTGACTATATATTTTTGTTATCAATTACAGCAAAAGTAGCAGAGTTTCCTCCACTAAGATTACATAGGGGAAATACTCATCAAGCACCGACAGAGAAATAGGCATGAAAATACTATATTTGAGTATTTCAAAGCGCATTTTATCACGTACATAAATGCCCTACTGGTTTCATAGCAGTTCCCGGCACCAAATCGCACTTTTTAACAAATAAAGTAAAAATCTGTCTACCAAAGAGTGCAAACTTTGACAGAACAAAGTTAGGTACCTGTCCAGCATTATCATGTTTTAATGTTGCTCTTTTATTTTACATTTTGATGGAGTTTAGGCCTGAGATGTAACAACTTTGTTCACATTTATTCAAAATTTCAGAGCAGTTTTTCGAACCTTTTTTATTTTGAATATAATTCAGTACCAATAAGCAATGTTAAGCTGGGTTTTCAAATACACATGTAGATAACTTCCCAAACTTTTCCGTGTCGTCTGCAAATATATTGTTTAAAAGTAGTGATTTACCTAGAATGGGATTTCAGTTATTGTGCATGGGCATTCAAACTAGAATTCCCCAGGTGTTGCTTGTAAGTGTCGCAAGTTCTCTAATGTAACTTAAAACTTTGAAACATATTAATCGCTGTACTATTATAACTGCTGTGTTACATAGAAAATAATTGTTTCTCTGACTGATGCAGTAACATAGATGCTTAACTGAGAAAAAATAGTCTGTATGCCTGGATGAAAATGATAAAGGGCCAGAATACTGCTAGGAGCCGGACAAAATCTGCGTCAAACAAAAAAACATACTATGAAAAAGAAACGGGGGTAAGAAATAATATCTCTTGAACTAAAATTCACTCAAAACCAACATTATATATCCTATTTTTTGCGCAAAGGATGAGCGTACTACATTTCATAATGATTTACAATCTTATTGAATAATAAAAAACGCTAAAACGTGCCGTGATTTAGCGCAAGAAACACATCGGCAATAACAAAAGTTATCATAAGAACTCTGTGACATCTTTAGAGTTATCACAAGAACTCCGGAACATTTGAAAAATCGGGTATATATCTGTTAGCCGGTGCTTTATATTTGCAATTTTGCATTATAATTAGGTAATTATGTATGGCAAGGATGAAGACCAGAAATAAACAGGTCAAAACTTGTGAATTGGCAAATAATTTGGAAATTTTACTGAAAACTACCAGATTTAAAGCAAGAGGCGATTAAAAATGGCATGTGAATTAGTTTTTGACACATAATAAAAGATGTAAGACAAGCTTAATCATTAAAGTTTAATTAAGCACCTAAAACTCATTTTTGAACGATGAAAATAACCATTTTAACGAGTGTTTTTGTAGTATATACAGATGTTTTCCGACGAACTCCGTTACAGTTATCACAAGAACTCCTGAACAAGTTATCATAAGAACTCCATCCTTCGTGTAACACTTCCTCCCCCGTGATTTTGCACTAAAAAGAGATATCTATAATAATATGATAGTGCTTGTTTTCATATCAACATTTTGCACTAAAAAAGTAATATTTTGTCATTTCATTTCTAATATCTTTTTATGTGTATATTATACTTCTACTTTATTTTCTGGGTATGTTACTTTATATAAGCAAAACGTAAGAAAATGTGTTAAAATATTGTCACTATTATTTTATAAAACCATGTTACATTATAATTTTATCTTACATTTTGAATCATCTATTTTTAATCAGTAGTTTTCCTCAATATCAATATAATTGTGCTCAATTGTTTACCGAACATAAACAATTTTGTTTAAAAGTATATTATGCTTTAGATATCAATAGTGTTTAAATGTTTGAGAGAGTTTAAACATGCAAATAATAATGTCCTTATGATGAATTTAGAGCATGTAAGATGTTGGGTAGCTGAAGAAAGTAGTCCTTTATGTGCTGTAAAGTGTTGTAAAGGTAGCAAAATGTAAATAAAATAGTATTTTGACTTCCATACTTTTATATTTTAAACATTTTGGTTCAACTTTACTTACTGTCTTGTCAATGTGTTGCTCAACTTACCATGATGTCATTATGTTGACTTGATTTTAATTTACTTACCAGGCTGTTTTCCTTTTCACAGTTATGGTAAAAAAACTCCACATAAAATCCCAAATGTTCTTTTCTGCAGGGCTTTACTTGTATGTTACAGTATATTAAGACTTTGGCATAGATTTTAATGACTATGAGCTACACACACTTGTGAGCTAAGTTCAGGCTTTAAGTGCAAGTTATATCCCTTCCTAAAGCATTGACACGTTTCCATTTTCACATTATGTTTGTTGTCTAGACTAAAAACTTGAGCATTTATTTTGTTGAATGCTTGTAAACTTAACTAATCATTGTTTGTTATTAATGATAATAATAGCTCTTTTTAGCTTGACAATTTAAGAGCATTAATTATTTGCGGCTACTATCCAAGGCCCATAACTCTTACATAGTTTTTGACAGAGTTATAGCCCTTTTTGAACTTAGAAAAGTATACATGATTAAGGCTTTTGTTATACAAGCACTGAGAATATTGGAGCATGCTGTTCTACAGACAGCTCTTGTTTCTGTTCTTTGAGTTTTTCATGTTTATTATACTGTCTTCAATGGGTTAATATTGTAATAATAAAATGAAAATTATTTGCATATTGCCAATCAAACTGAAACTGTTTATCAGGACATTTTGTTTTTTTCAGTCCTGCTATTCTGCTGATTTAAATAGTTTCAAAAATATATATATAAGTTGGATCTTTATAGATAGGTTTTATATTTTATCTATATTACATGTATTAATTAATAAAAAATTGATTTATTTAAATTTCAGCACTTCTGTTGTTTTTCCTCCCTTTCTGCTTAATAGAGTTACCTCCTCCTGTCTTCAGGTTTGGGGCATGATGGTGAACAAGTGTGCAAAGTCAGATGTCCATGGACTTTGAAAATATTTGAGATTGTATGCAAACTAATGAAATTAGAGGCATAATTCTGCCAAATTGCTTCAATCAAAACATAATACGGTAGATCTATTGCTTCTTACAACAGATTTATATTACATTTGTAATGTAAATCCGTGTTCTTACTAATGTCATTCAAATATTACTTTATAAAAGTCAGTTATACACCATCTTAAAATTAAAGACTTTATAACTTTAACTATGCTCAATCATTTTACAGTATATAGATCTATACAATGTCTATATTTTCCGCGTTTTCCCTATATGTTTATATTGTCCACCTAAGGCGTCCTTGTTTTAGACTATACCCTGAAATTATAATTGGAATACTTTTGATATAGTCCTTGCCTACTGATCAGAAAAGTAAACATTTTTGCCATTTATGGTGGCAACCAAGTATTAGGTTGTAAGTAATTATTTAATTATTATTCAGACATAACTTCGTCAAAACTTATTTTAAAACATTATTCTGCTTACAGTTCTTTTATTTTGCGAAAGTAAAATCACTGACGTTGTGCATACAGTAGATCTACTGTACATAGGATTTCAGGACTTTACCACTGTTTACATCTGGACGTTTCGGCCTCAAATCCCGGGCCTGGTCTTTTTGGCACCTTTTTAAATTTGATAAAGATATAAAAAAAATACTATTATGGGTTATAAAATTATATAAAACTCCATTCACCGTACATATATACTATATAGCACTAGCTAAACTAATAATAATAAGTTATAAAGCTGAAGTGAAAATGGGAGCACTGACCCGTCCACCGTTTGCAGCAAAATTCATGTGTTATTGTCACGGTTCATAATTGCTCACTATTTATGGAAGAGAATGTGTAAGTGGCCGGATAGCTCAGTTGGTAGAGCCGCGGTACGGTATACTATTCCTAGGGTACCGGGTTCGAGTCCTGGCTGCACATTTTTCTAACCCTGTGACATTTGTTGCCCAATGGGGGTAGGCTCCCATGTTTACAGTTTTTGTAAACGTTTTCAAGATTGCCAAGAACCGAAACGATACCGTTTAAACGGTGGTACTTCCATGTACTATACTACACCATGTATTCAAGTCGGCAAATGATGACATTCTTTCTAATTTTAATACATGTACAAATAAATAATGTTCAGGGCTCATCACGATGGTGTCGGCACACATTTTTTGCACTGTATCCCCATTTCGCTCTTTTGAAAGATCAAAGGAATATCAACAACAACTTTTATTAGCAAATATCGACAAAAAACTTGCCTTTGGCTAATGAACAGAAAAAATACTTCAAATATTGAACATATATATACATATATATATATACAAACATATAAATCAACTTTACCAAAATTTATTTTGCCAAAAGCGATCATTGCACTGTGATGCTGTGTGGTGTGTTGTAAACACCCATTTTCTATTTTTACTTTGGAATAAACCAATTGGAATTGATAAAAGCTGTGATTACAGGCAATGATGAAGATATTTTGTAAGACAATATGGTCATTTCGATTAAACGGTAAAAAATATCGTAAACGTTTAGGAATAAAAATTGAAACATATCCGTTTAAACGTTTATCCGTTTAAACGTTTATCCGTTTAAACGTGTAACCGTGGGGGCCTTAAATGGGGGACGATGATGATGATTGTATAAGCTCTGAGTCCAATTTCTCATTGTTCTCTGTACACATTAGAAATTCGAAGAGGAATTTCAATGTAGCGGGGGAGTAAACTGTATGTCACAGTTCAGAACTGTTCACTATTTAGGAGAGAAGATGTGTAAGCGGCCGGATAGCCGGTAGAGCTGCGGTATGGTATTCCTAGGGTCCCAGGTTTGAGTCCCAATCAGGCTGCACATTTTTCTCACGCTGTGACATTATAACCCTAACCCTCTAGCCCTAAACCTAGATGTAATCTGAGTGATGTTTAGAGAACATAAACTGATATATACTGAAGTAATAATTTTTGTAAAATGTTAAAAATAGCTGCAGACATATTCTAAAGTCTAGTCAGTTTTTAAAATACTTGGCTTACTGAGACGTGTTTTTAAACATATTGAAATCAATAGCTTTAAAGTCATATATTTTTAAGGTGCAGACAGGTCTACGTCCCCGGGAAGGGTTTGACATTAATGGAAGATAGATAGATATCTAACTATGTTAGACTTTTAATGGACATGGAACCCCCATTATGTCAAAGATATTGAAAGTTTAGAAAGAGTTCAGAAATATGCTACAAGTCTAGTTCCTGAATTATCAAGCTTGAATTACTGTTTTTTGTTTGAGAAATGTTGTTTAAAGAAGCGATCACTTTTTCGGCGGTGCCCCCTATCAAAAAGGTACATCAAAGGGTTGCCAGAAGGGGGATGTACCCCCTTCTGTTTAGGGGTTTGAAGGAGGTCAGTAGCCCTCATCTCCAAGAAAATTTTGGACATGTGACAGGCTAAAAATGGCCTCAGGTCAATCTTAAGGTAATGTGTAACCACCCTGTTGCCATGGTAACAGGAAATTTAAGATTTAGCATGCTGTTACAGAGGCTATGGTCCAGTAAACATTTGTGCCAAGTTTCATCAGTATTGAAGCAATTTTCATAGTTTATTATACCAGTTTGAACTTTTAACAGGAAAGTTTTCAATCAAAACAGGCATTTTTCACAATAAGCTCATGTGCTAAAAGGTTACATTGATAAAAGTTAAGTTGTGCTGTCTGTACAAAATGTGCAATAGTCTAAAACTTTGTAAACCAATGTATAGATTTAAAAGCTGAATGATTCCATTAGGAATGGCTTTAAATGCTCCTCTAACTTTGTCCACTTTGTGTGCTAGACTTATTTCACTTATCAGAAAGGTCTTGCTCAAAGACTAATCAATTAAATTTATTAATTTATGCAGGTCAAGTGATTTACTGCCATCAAGATGGCTAATGTTTTGAATTTTATTGAGAAAGTTCCGCCGATAGAGCACCTGCTGGCTGGTGGGTTACCAAGTATAGCAGCATTAGATACATACATTGCTGATCTGGACATGGACTTAGATGATAATACCAAAGAGTAAGTTTAAAATTATTTCCTCCTTCTAGATCTCCAATTTATGTCAAAATTCCAGATGTGTATTTACATACTATAAATATTGCATGTATTATATTATAATTTATACTAGATAGTAAATGAAAGATTTAGCAAAATTCACTCTAAGTTAAAAAAAAGGGAATTTTTAAGAAATGATTGTAAATGTCCAATTATTTAACACTTAACCTGCTTGAACCAAAAGTGATTAGCCTTTGCCACCAGCAAAGAGCCGTCCCTGCAATCTGTTCAAGCTCTATATTTTGTATTTTGATATTGAAATCCCTTGAACTTTGAATGGATTGTTTCAAATTCAAAGCTGGACAGATCCAGTATAAGAATATAGCTGAATAAGGGTAAAAAAAAAAGATTTTTGTGAAAAAAGGTCATATATATTAATTAATATTTATAACAAAACAATATACATAGATTGATTTAATCCTTATTTTCAGATTAGATGTTTGTTTACATGACATGTTAAAGACCACTAACACAATAGTGGGTAAGGAATATATTACACCTAGAGATGCTCTCCTCACCATGATCAGTACACATACACTAGAGAAAGACACATGCTACGATCCTGAACCTGACGCTGTCACTGAAATTCTCACACATGCTGTAAGTTAGATTGTTAAATCTTTACATGAAGGATGTAAATGATCCAATAAATTTCTAACATTATGAATGGCGATAGTAATTTTAAGACAGTTTGTATTAGCTTTTAGGATTTAGCAATGGTTTTAAAGTAAGAATTTTTTGTAGTCATGTAGCCTTTTATAAAGACCAACTAAAATTGAAGCAAATGACATTGTAAAATTTCCTCTGTTTCCTGAAGTTAGTTTTTTGAGTTTAATTATTTTAGAAAGTCTCAGTATAACATAAAATGTCAGTAGTGTTGTTGTTACTAAAATGCCAATCATCATAGTAATTTAACAATTAAAAATTATAAGTATTATATAATTGAGAAAGTATATAGTTGTCCAGTAGTCCTGTTTTTCCTTGTAAAGCAGACATTTACTGATCTATACCTTAGATATTTGGCATTTTGTTACCTTGCATAATAAGTTACAGATTGATGGGACTTGAAATTGTTGGAGTCAAAGTAACTGAGAGGAAAACGTTTTAGGTTTGGAGCATTCATTGGTGTCATAACTGTTCTTACTGAACCTAAAGTAAACAGGAATATTTAGATTTTAAAACACGCCTTAGAAGGTATTATAAATATTTCATGCTGTTGTTTATCAGATTTATGTATTTCAGGCATATATGTTAGACCAGGTACCAGGCAGTGAAGAGGCTGTATTCCAGGACCTGTTATCACTATCATCTAAACAGGGTTTGTTGTTACCACTGAGGGCAACAGTTGTTGATCCTATAGCCTCGACTTTGTCTCTAAATGCTGTATCTGATAACAGTGAGATGCATATATCACAGGCATGGGACCAGATAGCTCTTAGACTTAGGTTGGTTCCCATATTCTCTGATACTTTTACTTATAACAGTGTCCAGGTTAAAGGTCTAAAGAGTTTGTTAGATAAAGGGAGACTGAACTAGACTAGATCAAGGACTGACTGCAATCCACAAACTGTTGCTTGAAAATAGTGTGTTTGTCCGACTTTATTTATACTTGCCACTGGTTGCCCCTATGGGCGAGTCCTCCAGTAGAGTGTGAGTCATTTTAAAGTTTTGGAGAATAGTGCTAGATACAGATACAGAAAGATGCCCCAATTCCAGAAGATTCTTCTACGCACCTCAATTTAAAGTCTCACCTGAAAGATTATTTTGTAATTTTAGTTGTCCAGTCCGGGAATTGAACCCACAATATCATGATTACAAGTTTCATGCTCTATCTTTAAAATGTTTTGATTGTCTGGTTTAAATCTTTCAACCATGAATTGAGTAATAATAATAAAACATTTACATATGTATTTGCTGTACCATTATGGTAAGAGAAACCTATTTACATTTTATAAGTGATGAAAATATAAAAGTTGACATTAAAGAGAGGTAATAAGCAGTGTGCAAAATTCATTTTAGAGTGATATTGCAAGTTTATATTAAAGAAGTCTTAGACAAGCTTGATTCCTATAAAACTGTGTTTTAGGTATATAGATTAGTACATAAGATAAAAATATTTCAATAAAAGTTTAACATTAAATAAAAATTTTCGATGAAAGATAGTAATTTCAACTTCTTAAAAAATGTCATCTTAAAAATTTAATGTTCATAAAACTGGAATACAATGTAAGATATGATTTTTTTTATTGGAACATTTAGGAAACTGAACATATATTTTATGTTACACAGGAGATATTTCCAGGACAGACTGACAAGTTTACCAGTGACACCCACTCCCCCTCAGATAGATATATATGAGAGAAGACGTTTAAAATATCTGCAAAGTTTGATGACACTTCAACCAGCAGAGGAAGTTTGGGAACGGTAAATAATAAGAGCCACGTCACAACAAAACCATCGTAATGCATTTGCGACCAGCATGGATCCAGACCAGCCTGGGCATCTGTGCAGTCTGATCAGGATCCATGCTGTTGCTATCGGTTTCTCTACTTGTAATAGGGTTTGTAAGCGAACAACATGGATCCTGGTCAGACTGCGCGGATGCGCAGGCTGGTCTGGATCCATGCTGGTCGCAAACGTATTGCGTTAGTTTTGTTGTGACACGGCTCATATTAGTTTTACAGATTTTTGTCAAAAGGTTTTGTGAGGGTTTTATAGCTAACAAATGTGTTTACAGGGATATAAAAATCCTGTCAAACATTTTACTGGCCATATAACCTGTTAAGACTTAAATGTCTCTATTCAATATGTTACTGCAATGACTGAATGATAATTATACTTAAATAAAGAAAGAAAGAATTAATATACAGCAGTGCTGTATGTAGATAATATAAGAAACATGATTATCCAAGCAAATCAATGTAACTAAAGTACCTGTATTAGTATAGGTGATAATTATGTCTTGAAATTAAATCTTTGTGAGTAAAAGTATTGAAATAGTTATGACATTTTGAGAACTTTTTAGGCAAGTGGATTCTAGAGCAAATGCAATGTGCATGTTATTATTTTGCATATAGACATTTCTTTATTTAAATAACTATACCCGACAAATTATCCCATCACATAATGTGGAGGAGACTGTACTGGAATCAATTTATCACGTTGGTTGGCCTGTCAGTAGGTGTGTCAGTCTCTATCATGTCCATGCTATAAATCCTATTCCTCTTGTAAATTAAAGTTTTAACATTTTCTGTCTGCTATAAATTCTATACTTTTCAAATGACTTTTTCAAACTTTACTGGACTGTTTGGTTTCTTTTAAAAAAAAAAAGGATAAATTACGCTACATAATATCATGTGTCATAAGTGTGGGTATTTCGTCACTCCTCGGGTATCTCTAGTTATTTGAAGGCATGGATAACTTACTTGATCAGACTTTGTTTCTGATACATTTATTTGATTTGATTTATTTTTTCTGACCAGATACCAGGCCATTAGAAGACAACAGTTGGAAAGATGTTTAAGTTTGTTGATGCCAGAGAATGAGTCTGATGGTATAGATATACTGAACATATCTGAACATTGTGCTGATGTAGCTAAGGTTATTATGCAGATGATGAATGAAGATTTTACGGTGCTGAATGCTGGGGTCATGAAGAAATCATCAAATATTTTTCACTTGTTTCATAAAACTTATTTAGACAAGTATTCAGATGAGATGTCAGCTTTGATTGATGAAGTTTGGGATGAAATAAGGGATTTACTCAAGCGTGGACCCTCACAGTCTTTCAGTGCACAGGGGTCAAAAAGGAAATCAAATGTCACCAAGCCTGGCGCCAGTACATTACAGCAGGCACATAGTCTTGAGACTGTCCTCGTACCTGGAGAAACATCTGAAGCTGGGAGCCAGCTACCAACAATTCCTACTAAGTACATGAAGGTTATGATAAATATAGTAACAACTCTTCATCAGATAGAGGAGCATATGGACTATCTACAGAGAGCAGCAATCTGGGATGTTGGTGGAATTTCAACTAAGAAAAGTCATCGGAAAGGAAGTTTAAAAGGTAATTCATGTATTCATAATGTATTCATGAATTCAAAAGTAAATAGAAACACAACTTACATATAATTAAAGGTTAAAAAGGGGTCTGCTATTTCTCCTTACTTTCCAGTATGGATGTTGTTATGTTATCTCCTAACGGGAAAAAAACAATTCTCAATTATATTGCAACTTTAGCTGGCAACGGCATAGACTCATCAATAAACTTATTCACATTTTCTATGGCTATAAATGTTAAAAAGTAACATAATATATCCGGAAATTTTGTATTCACTGGTCACATTATGATGGGGTCACATCCAGACTTGCTTGTTATTTTGTATAAACAAATAGACATTTACTTTTGATTCTAGAACACGGATTCCCCCAGATTAAAATAACATTACGGAAGATAATAAGTTTTTATGTAATAAATTTTTCAGGTGTACTGAAGCCAAGTTCTAGTCCTGAACTGTCAAAGCGACCTAACAGTGCCAGCCTATCTATAGACTCTGAGTCATGGATGTCTGATGGTATGGCAAGCTCATTCAGTTCTGTATCATCTAATATGATGTTTGAAGCCCCAGCAGGTCCTAAAGGTATCTTGAATTGCAGGAATTGTCAAATTCAGAGTTAATATAGATTATGTAATCTACTCAAATTTAATGAGAATTATATTTCACATTTAAGATCTGTGTATCTTAAAACATACCATATGTGATGTTTATATAACTTAACCTAAGACTAAAAATTCTGTATATCAAAAATATGTCATATATTAATTTATACTTTATTAATGGGGCGTCCGTGGCCGAGTGGTTAAGGTCGTTGACTTCAAACCACTTGCCCCTCACCGCTGTGGGTTCGAATCCCGACAGGGACTTTGGATTCTTTCATGTGAGGAAGCTATCCAGCTAGCTTACGGAACGTCGGTGGTTCTACTCAGGTGCCCGTTCGTGCCTGAAATAACGCACGGAAGGGCACCTGAGGTCTTCCTCCACCAGTTAAGCTGGAACGTCGCGATATGACCTATACTGTGTCGATGTGACGTAAAACCAAAACAAACAAATACTGTATTAATTTATACCTTGTCCCTAGTCTTTAAAGAAAGTCACTGATCATTTTTAGCTCGACTATTCGAAGAATATGAGAGCTATTGTAGTCGCCCCGGCGTCGGCGTCGGCGTCAGCGTCCATGTCGGCGTCTGCGTTGGTTAAAGTTTTTTGTAAAGTCAAATATCTCAATTATTGCTTGAGATATTCAATTGAAACTTACAATACTTATTTATAGTAACAAGGTACATCAGATTGACAAGTTTGATAACTCTACCTTTAATATTGACAGAATTATGCCCCTTTTTAACTTAGAAATTTTGGTTAAAGTTTTTTGTAAAGTCAAATATCTCAATTATTGTTTGAGATATTCAATTGAAACTTACAATACTTATTTATAGTAATAAGGTACATCAGATTGACAAGTTGGATAACTCTGCCTACAATATTGACAGAATTATGCCCCTTTTTAACTTAGAAATTTTGGTTAAAGTTTTTTTTAAAGTCAAATATCTCAATTATTGCTTTAGATATTCAATTGAAACTTACAATACTTATTTATAGTAACAAGGTACATCAGATTGACAAGTTGTATAACTCTGCCTACAATATTGACAGAATTATGCCCCTTTGAAACTTAGAAATTTTGATTAAAGTTTTTTTGTAAAGTCAAATATCTCAATTATTGCTTGAGATATTCAATTGAAATTTACAATACTTTTTTGTAGTAACAATGTTCATCATTTTGCAAAATTGCATTACTCTGTCTGCAATATTTGCAGAATTATTTGCCCCTTTGAAACTTAGAAATTTTGATTAAAGGTAAAAGGTCTTCAAAGATATTTACTTGAAACTTTACACATGCACTTAGGATCATAATTGTATGTCACTGACCAAGTTCCATAACTCTATCTTGCATTAAGGCTGATTCATATCCCCTTTTCTACTTAGTCTCCTGGTTAATGTTTACATGCAAGTTTTACATATCTCAATAACTATTAAAGATATTTATTTAAAACTTCACATATGCATTTAGGGTCAGAATTGTAGGTCACTGACAAAGATCCATAATTCTATCTTGCATTTAGGCTGATTTTTCTTCCCTTTTTCAACTTAGAAATTCATGGTAAAGTTTTGCTTGTAAGCTGTTATCTCCATAACTACTGAAGGGTTTGTGCCTTTTTTGGGACAATTTTATGCATTCATAATAATAAAGCAGTGATTTACTTGATAAAACATCTTAATAACAAGCCTTTGTACCTTTTCTGTCAATTTTATGTATTCATAGGTAATTAGTATTATTATACTCAATAAAACACCCTTGTGACATTACCTTCCAAATAGTCAAGCCAATACTGTATAATTAGACTCTCTGTAAGGCCTATAACATGAATTAAAAAAAAAAAAATAGCCCTTTTGTGAACTTAGAAAATTAAACATTATCAAGGCTCTCTTACTATCAAGCACTTAGAATAGTCGAGCGTGCTGTCCTACTGACAGCTCTTGTTATGCAAAGAAAGTTAAATGAAAACTTCTGATACCATTGTTATCATTGTAACTTATAGTAACTGTGGTAGAGAAGATGAAGATGGAGGAGAAAGTGCGCTGGGACTGGAAGTTTATATTTAAGAAAATTGCTCCAGAATTAGCTCACAGTATGCAAACTAGTATTGAGTGTACAGTGAGAAACTGCCTTGATGTAGAATTAAGACAGTGGACATCTTCCCACACCTTGACGACTGTTTCCCTGGATGCATCACAGTGGGGTGGTAGATTAGACTATCCCAAGGTCATTTCTAAGGTGAGTTTTAAATGAATACAGTACATTACAGTCAAACCTTTGGTTAAAATATATTTATTTAAGCTCGATTGCGAAACAAGTTCTTGAAACTTCTGTTAATCACTTTCGAGTCCACTTCCTGGAACCAACCAGTACTGGTGTCATTTGGAGAAACCTGGTTGAAACCCTATTAGGGCTTGGACCAATGATCCCTGGGTTGAGAGGCAGACATCTTAACCACTAGGCCACCGCAAACCTTTTCTTAAAACAAACGGTGAAACAATTGTTATACCCCCAAAAACGAAGTTTGGGGGGGTATATAGGAGTCACCCGGTGGTCGGTCGGTCGGTCGGTCCAGACGTCCATTGCATTTTCCTTGTCCGGAGCATAACTTGAAGACTAATGGTTGGAATTCAATATTACTACATACAATGGTCAAGCACATTGAGAGGAAGTGCAGTGCATAAGAACCATAACTCTATCTTGTCTAATTACAGAGTTATTGCCCTTTGTTACTTTTCCTTGTCCGGGGCATAACTTGAAAACTACTGGTTGGAATTCAAAACAACTTCATACAATTGTCAAGCACAATAAGGGGAAGTGCAGTGCACAAGAACCATAACTCTATCTAAAGTAATTACAGAGTTATTGCCCTTTGTTACTTTTCCATTGCTTTCTTTTGTCCGGACCATAACTTGAAGACTAATGGTTGGAATTCATTATAACTTCATACAATGGTCAAGCACATTGAGAGGAAGTGCAGTGCACAAGAACCATAACTCTATCTTGACTAATTACAGAGTTACTGCCCTTTGTTACTTTTCCTTGTCCAGGGCATAACTTGAAAACTACTGGTTGGAATTAAAAACAACTTCATACAATTGTCAAACACAATAATGGGAAGTGCAGTGCACAAGAACCATAACTCTATCTAAAGTAATTACAGAGTTATTGCCCTTTGTTACTTTTCCATTGCATTCTTTTGTCCGGACTATAACTTGAAGACTAATTGTTGGAATTCATTATAACTTCATACAATGGTCAAGCACATTGAGAGGAAGTGCAATGCTCAAGAACCATAACTCCATTTTGACTTATTACAGAGTTACTGCCCTTTGTTACTTTTCCTTGTCCAGAGCATGACATGAAAACTACTGGTTGGAATTCAAAACAACTTCATACATTCTTTTGTCCGGACTATAACTTGAAGACTAATTGTTGGAATTCATTATAACTTCATACAATGGTCAAGCACAATAAGGGGAAGTGCAGTGCACAAGAACCATAACTCCATCTTGACTAATTACAGAGTTATTGCCCTTTGTTACTTTTCCATTGCTTTTTTTGTCCGGAGCATAACTTGAAGACTAATGGTTGGAAATCAATATAACTTCATACAATGGTCAAGCACATTGAGAGGAAGTGCAGTGCACAAGAACCATAACTCCATCTTCAGTATTTACAGAGTTATTGCCCTTTGTTACTTTTCCTTGTCCAGAGCATAACTTGAAAACTACTGTTTGGAATTCAATTAAACTTCATAAAGTTGTCAAGGACATTAAAAGGAAGTGCAGTGCACAAGAGCCATAACTCCATTTTGACAAAATATAGAGTTACTGCCCTTTGATACTTATCTTTGTCCGGAGCATAACATAAAAGGTACTGGTTGGAATTCAAAACAACTTCATACAATTGTCAAGCACAATAAGAGGAAGTGCAGTGCACAAGAACTATAACTCCATCTTCAGTATTTATAGAGTTATTGCCCTTTGTTCCTTTTCCTTGTCTTTCTGGACTTATTACAGAGTAATTCAATAAAACTTCATCAATGGCCAACCACATTAACAGGAAATGCAACATACAAGAACCACAACTATCTTTAATTGCCCACAACCATAACTCTATATTTCAACTCTTTTTATATGCCCGAAAGGGCATATTATGTTATACCCCCTGGCGTCCGTCTGTCTGTCCGTCCGTCCGTCCGTCTGTCCGTCCGTCCGTCCGTTAGCAATTTGGTTTCCGGAGCATAACTTAAGTTCCATTTGGCCCACAATGTTAAAACTTCATAGGATGATTGTCCATATTGGGTAGAAGACCCCTATTGATTTTGGGGTCAAAAGGTCAAAGGTCAAGGTCACTATTACCTTAAAACTGAAAACGGTTTCCGGAGCATAACTTAAGTTCCATTTGACCCACAATGTTCAAACTTCATAGGATGATTGTCCATATTGGGAAGAAGACCCCTATTGATTTTGGGGTCACAAGGTCAAAGGTCAAGGTCACTATGACCTTGATACTGAAAACAGTTTCCGGAGCATAACTTAAGTTCCAATTGGCCCACAATGTTCAAACTTCATAGGATGATTGTCCATATTGGGTAGAAGACCCCTATTGATTTTGGGGTCAAAAGGTCAAAGGTCAAGGTCACTATTACCTTAAAACTGAAAATGGTTTCCGGAGCATAACTTAAGTTCCATTCGACCCACAATGTTCAAACTTCATAGGATGATTGTCCATATTGGGAAGAAGACCCCTATTGATTTTGGGGTCACAAGGTCAAAGGTCAAGGTCACTATGACCTTGATACTGAAAACAGTTTCCGGAGCATAACTTAAGTTCCAATTGGCCCACAATGTTCAAACTTCATAGGATGATTGTCCATATTGGGTAGAAGACCCCTATTGATTTTGAGGTCAAAGGTCAAGGTCACTATTACCTTATAACTGAAAACAGTTTCCAGAGCATAACTTAAGTTCCATTCGACCCACAATGTTCAAACTTCATAGGATGATTGTCCATATTGGGAAGAATACCCCTATTGATTTTGGGGTCACAAGGTCAAAGGTCAAGGTCACTATGACCTTGATACTGAAAACAGTTTCCGGAGCATAACTTAAGTTCCAATTGGCCCACAATGTTCAAACTACTTAGGATAATTGTCCATATTGGGTAGAAGACCCCTATTGATTTTGGGGTCAAAAGGTCAAAGGTCAAGGTCACTATTACCTTGTAACTGAAAACAGTTTCCAGAGCATAACTTAAGTTCCATTTGACCCACAATGTTCAAACTTCATAGGATGATTGTCCATATTGGGTAGAAGACCCCTATTGATTTTGGGGTCACAAGGTCAAAGGTGAAGGCCACTATTACATTGATACTGAAAAATATGTTTCCACGCATAACTTAAGTTCCATTTGACCCACAATGTTCAAACTTCATAGGATGATTGTCCATATTGGGTAGAAGACCCCTGTTGATTTTGGGGTCAAAAGGTCAAAGGTGAAGGTCACTATTACCTTGATACTGAAAACAGTTGCCGGAGCATATGTTAAGTTCCATTTGGCCCACAATGTTCAAACTTCATAGGATGATTGTCCATATTGGGTAAAAGACCCCTATTGATTTTGGGGTCAAAAGGTCAACGGTTAAGGTCATCCTTACTAAAAAAAAAAATACTTTCGGGCATATAATGCTCCGCCTAGCGGTGCTCTTGTACAAGGTATTCTGTTACTAGTAACATCCTCATTTCCGAAGCAGTCTTGTGGGGGTATTAATCACATTTAGTGATAGTTCTAGTTTTATTTCATATTTATTACAATTTGGCATTTAAGGAGAGGTAATTGATTAGCAAAGAATATATCTTCCATTTCCCATCTTTGGGAAATGCTTGTAGAAAAAATGTCAAGTTGAGTCAATCAGTAATTTATTTCAAGAGATTCACTATTATAATCGTGACTGGCCAATAATTGACAATGAAAAAAAAAGTTTAGGGTGAAATATATAAACTACCCCACTCTTAAAAAATTGAATGTAGTAAATACATTCCAAACAATATTTATAGAAATTTCTGTGGGTCACGTGGATTTTTGATTATTTTTGTGTAGTTAAATATAAAATTGAAAATAGTTACGGCAAAATGTAAACTTATTTTGACTTTTACCTATGCACTCACTATTTACACTTTGATGGACATAATGTCACTTAAGGAGGCATGCCCATGAATGATGAAGCACTTTAGTAAGCATATACTTGGATTGGACATAATGTCACTTAAGGAAGCATGCCCATGAAGCAGTAAGCATACACCAGTTAACATGCTAATGGCATGTATTTTATTGTTATCTTTTAGGCAATGTTTGACTTCATGCAAGAACTGGAGACTTATTTAGTGTTAGCTAAATGTGGCAGTAGTGGAGTTTTACATTCAGTGAGATCAAAGTTCATTGACTGTGCTAACACTTGTCTCAAGGATATCCACTCACATCTTACCAAGGTAGGAACAATTATCATCTCTATTATTATTGTGAGAAGTAGTTGTGATCATGGTTTTGCTGTGTGACCAGTATGTAGCCGGCCTAGTCAGTACATGCATGCAGTGTGACCAGTATACAGCCGGCCCAGTCAGTACATGCATGCAGTGTGACCAGTATACAGCCGGCCCAGTCAGTACATGCATGCAGTGTGACCAGTATACAGCCGGCCCAGTCAGTACATGCATGCAGTGTGACCAGTATACAGCCGGCCCAGTCAGTACATGCATGCAGTGTGACCAGTATACAGCCGGCCCAGTCAGTACATGCATGCAGTGTAACCAGTATACAGCCGGCCCAGTCAGTACATGCATGCAGTGTGACAGTATACAGCCGGCCCAGTCAGTACATGCATGCAGTGTAACCAGTATACAGCCGGCCCAGTCAGTACATGCATGCAGTGTGACCAGTATAACAGCCCGGCCAAGTCAGTACATGCATGCAGTGTGACCAGTATACAGCCGGCCCAGTCAGTACATGCATGCAGTGTAACCAGTATACAGCCGGCCCAGTCAGTACATGCATGCAGTGTGACCAGTATACAGACGGCCCAGTCAGTACATGCATGCAGTGTGACCAGTATATAGCCGGCCCAGTCAGTACATGCATGCAGTGTAACCAGTATACAGCCGGCCCAGTCAGTACATGCATGCAGTGTAACCAGACTTTATACTGATAAACTGTAGCACTGGGATAACTGAAGTTTAGACCATGACCAAGATAATGCTGATGTATAGTGGGAGTTTGTTGTCTCAGGGCAACTGAACACAAACTGAACAGTCAAATATATTTTTTCTCATCAAACATTTAACAACATAATAAAATATACATGTCTACAGGATAAAAATATAAAAACTTGTCTAAGGGCAAAGATTAGAATTAATGAAAGTTTTGTTGTTTTGTTTACAAAAACTTACGAACATTCAAGCAGTGAAATTCTTAAGTGAAAATGTGGTAGTAAGCAGTATTTTTTGAGTAACACAAGATGATGAGCTATTTCTTTGTTAAACCATGATATTTCTTTTTACAAATGAGGTGAAACTGCCTATGATATTGTTTATGTCCTATTTGAAAACAAGAGGCAATAATTACAAGTCTATATCACTGGTATAGAGTGAGGCTAGTAGTCTGTATATCTCCCCAATCTAACAAGATCACACTTTTAGCAGTCTAATTTTAATGTCTTGATAATTGAGCCGTTTGCTCATAGTGGGTTTGCGACCAGCATGAATCCAGACCAGCCTGCGCATCTGCACAGTCTGATCAGGATCCATGCTGTTCGCTATCAGTTTCTCTACATGTAATAGAGTTGGTAAGCGAACAGCATGGATCCTGATCAGAATGTAAAGCAGTATGTGTATATTTCAATAAAGAATAGTAACTGATTGACCTTTGTCATCAGTAATAGTGTTTACATATGTGCAGTCTGAGAGGCTCTATACTGTTGGTAGCTCATGCATGCAGTGTGACCAGTATACAGTCGGCCCAGTCAGTACATGCATGCAGTGTGACCAGTATACAGCCGGCCCAGTCAGTACATGCATGCAGTGTGACCAGTATACAGCCGGCCCAGTCAGTACATGCATGCAGTGTGACCAGTATACAGCCGGCCCAGTCAGTACATGCATGCAGTGTGACCAGTATACAGCCGGCCCAGTCAGTACATGCATGCAGTGTGACCAGTATACAGCCGGCCCAGTCAGGACATGCATGCAGTGTAACCAGTATACAGCCGGCCCAGTCAGTACATGCATGCAGTGTGACCAGTATACAGACGGCCCAGTCAGTACATGCATGCAGTGTGACCAGTATACAGCCGGCCCAGTCAGTACATGCATGCAGTGTGACCAGTATACAGACGGCCCAGTCAGTACATGCATGCAGTGTGACCAGTATACAGCCGGCCCAGTCAGTACATGCATGCAGTGTGACCAGTATACAGACGGCCCAGTCAGTACATGCATGCAGTGTGACCAGTATACAGCCGGCCCAGTCAGTACATGCATGCAGTGTGACCAGTACACAGCCGGCCCAGTCAGTACATGCATGCAGTGTAAACTGGATATAGCCGGCCCAGTCAGTACATGCATGCAGTGTGACCAGTATACAGACGGCCCAGTCAGTACATGCATGCAGTGTGACCAGTATACAGCCGGCCCAGTCAGTACATGCATGCAGTGTGACCAGTATACAGACGGCCCAGTCAGTACATGCATGCAGTGTGACAGTATATAGCCGGCCCAGTCAGTACATGCATGCAGTGTAACCAGTATACAGACAGGCCAGTCAGTACATGCATGCAGTGTAACCAGTATACAGACAGGCCAGTCAGTACATGCATGCAGTGTAACCAGTATACAGACAGGCCAGTCAGTACATGCATGCAGTGTAACCAGACATTTTACTGATAAACTGTAGCACTGGGATAACTGAAGTTTAGACCATGACCAAGATAATGCTGATGCATAGTGGGAGTTAGTTGTCTCAGGGCAACTGAACACAAACTGAACGGTCAAATATTTTTTTTTTCATCAAACATTTAACAACATAATAAAATATACATGTAAACAGGATAAAAATATAAAAACTTAGAGTGTACAAAAACTTAAGAAATTCAAACAGTGAAACTCTTTAGTGAAGATGTGGTAGTAAGCAGTATTTTTTGAGTAATACAAGATGATGAGCTATTTCTCTGTTAAACCTTGATATTTCTTTTTACAAATGAGGTGAAACTGCCTATGATATTGTTTATGTCCTATTTGAGGCAACAATTACAAGTCTATATCACTGGTATAGAGTGAGGCTAGTAGTCTGTATATCTACCCAATCTAACAAGATCACACTTTTAGCAGTCTAATTTTAATGTCTTGATAATTGAGCCGTTTGCTCATAGTGGGTTTGCGACCAGCATGAATCCAGACCAGCCTGCGCATCTGCACAGTCTGATCAGGATCCATGCTGTTCGCTATCAGTTTCTCTACATGTAATAGAGTTGGTAAGCGAACAGCATGGAACAGCATGGATCCTGATCAGAATGTAAAGCAGTATGTGTATATTTCAATAAAGAATAGTAACTGATTGACCTTTGTCATCCTTAATATTGTTTCCATTTGTGCAGTCTGACGAGGCTCTATACTGGTAGCTCAGGTTTTGTATTTTGATATTGAAATCCTTTCAACTTGAACAAGTCCATTATATTAAAATGGCAGATTGAGGGTTAAAAGATATGAAAGTATTTTTGTTGAAATGTTTGTTTTGTTATTGTCTATAGTTGTCAACAGAGATTCCGCTGCAGTCTCCAATGAACAATTTGTATGTGATATTGTCCAGCGCTGCATACATACGTAATCATCTACTTCACTTTGACACAGTTCTAGCCGTAGATGAAAGGTAAATGTTATACTTTTTTAAGACAGCTTGTCATTCAATGTAAAAACTTTTTTTATTTTGGATTTAATTAGGACACCCCCTTAGTTGTGAAATTTAAACATTTATCATCCTCCTGTAATTATATCTTATAGCTGCATGTATATACTATGAAAATATATACGTTGAGGGTTGACAATAATTATGGATTCTCGCAAAATCAGAATCTGCAATTCCATCATTTATTATTAAAGGTCCTGTTTGGAATGGTTCTAGCATTTTTCATCAAATAACATGATGCCTTTTCAGGAATTTAGAAATTTTTATTTACTTCCACTATTTCTGTAATTATTTACAGTAAGAAGCCATTCAGCCTACAGTATAAACAGTTTCTAGAGTTGGTGGAGCATCTGACAGATGACTTGATACAGAAACATAACAATTATATAGCAACAAGCATTCTACATGATATAGATAGCCATGACTGGACGGAAACAAAGGAATTCTATGAGGTTTTTACCCCTTTATAATGCTAGTTGTGAATTACCTATGCCATCAATATAGAACCAGTCCAGTCTGCATTTATCTGTTTAGTATGTCCTGGCTGTTTCCTTAAGTATAACATGTTTTATTACACAACATTATCAAACTACTGCCCATGGGCTTTCTGATCTGTGCTTACTATTATTGACATTTAATTGATATTTTAACAAATAGGAATTAAACAGGTATCTACTTAATTATATGTTACAGGGTGAGAAAAATGTGCAGCCTGACTTGGGACTCAAATTAGCAATTTTTTTGGCTTTTCCCATTTAGCTATCCAGCTCCTTTCACTTTCTCTCCGCTGTTTATATTTGTTCAAATTTGTGAAACAGTGAATGACAAAGTTTGATTTTTCTCATGTTATTCTAATGTTTATTGTACTATGTAACTGTAATGTTTACAGTATTATATATTGTGTTACTATGGTTTCAGGGTGAGAGATGTACGTTTCCAGTACAGATGTGGCACTATTATTTACGTGGTGTACAGTATGACATGTGGTCTATCTGTCCTCCAAAGCTTGCACAAACATCTCTCAGTGTCATAGTACATGACTCACTACAAATTCTTACCCAAAGATACACACAAGCAAAACCAAGCTTTAGACGAGTTTCTACATTCTGGTGAGTGTATTATTTATATAGAGGCTTTTGAATGAATATTAGAATTCTGGTATTTTGGTGTTTTTATGCCCCCACAGAGTGGGAGCATATAGCGTTGCACTTGTCCGTCCGAGTGTCCGTCTGTACGTCGGTCCGTACGTCCCGAAATCTTGTGAACGCAACTCCTCTTAAACCGGATGGCAGATTTTGCTTAAACTTCTAGGGATGAACAACCTTAATGTGTAGATGGTAGTAAAGGGAGGAATTTTTGCTGCGACCAAATTTAATAGAATTATGGCCCTTTGTTGGTTTTTTCACTATATACTATGTAGAAATTTTGTGAACGCAACTGCTCTTAAACCGTATGGCAGATTTTGTTTAAACTTCCAGGGATGAACAACCTTAATGTGTAGATGGCATTAAAGGAAGGAATTTTTGCTGCGACCAAATTTAAGAGAATTATGGCCCTTTGTTGGTTTTTTCACTATATACTATGTAGAAATTTTGTAAACGCAACTCCTCTTAAACTGGATGGTAGATTTTGCTTAAACTTCCAGGGATGAACAACCTTAATGTGTAGATGGTAGTAAAGGAAGGAATTTTCGCTGCCACCAAATTTAACAGAATTATGGCCCTTTGTTGATTTTTAGTTTTCAACTTGTGGCACATGTAGTCCAAAAAATATTTGACCTAGAGTCATAAGATTGACAGAACAGTGGCGTGTGGGGGCATCTGTGTCCTATGGACACATTTCTAGTTTTTTCAGGTAACAAACATTAACAAGAGCAAGAATATATAAGTTTGGTGATACACAAATATCAGATTTGTCAGAAAAATAGAGAATTATAATGTAGGGTAGTAAATGTCCTATACCTTTAAGACAGCTCTTAAGTTTACAAGCGAACAAAATGATAAAACTATTAATTTTAAAGGCCTAATAATAAATTCATTAAGGCACTTACTTTTTATACACCTGAAGAAGTTTTGGGACATGTTATGGCACTACCGAATAGGCTCAGGGGCGGCGAAATCAATTATCTGTATTGCCAAGGTTGTCCCACACCCTGTACGGACAAGTGGAAATTTTCTAAAATTTACTATATAAGTATCATACGGACAAGTAAGAAAATGCTTTAAGTAAAAACGGACAAGTTAGTCAAAATCAGATTTTGCCGGCCCTGGAATAGGGATAGGGGGCCATGTAACTGTAAACAGAACAAAAGAGAACAATAGAGTTCATTCCGTAACAATAGAATAAGCGGCCATTGGCCCTCTATTAAACAATATAAAATAACAAAAAAAATGGCCCCTTATTCCATTTGCGGCCGGACGTCGGTATGACATTGTCTGTCCATCAGTCTGTCTATAATCTAGAAATTTTCTTTACAATCAGTCTTAGTCAAATCATGTTTCAATTATTTCTTTTTATTTTCTTTTCAGTTTTGACATAAAGACAATATTGTTGTGTGTTGGTGAGCTACTGTATTCATGTAGTAACTCTGTATCAAAATATGTTGATGTAGGTCACTCACAGATACCTCATTATTCTATACACAATCTCTGTATAGCTCTCTTGTCAGCCATGGCTGTTGTAGCAAGTCCACTGGATATACTTTACAAGTAAGTTATCTGACTAGTTTCATCAGTTTAGTGAACATTTGCTGTAATATTTCAGACAAATACAGTTAGGTTTTTTTCTTTACAGGAGTGTCTTGATTTTTTCTCTTTTTTGGGATTATCATTGACTCCAACACTTGTATTGTGAATACTTGTGAATTTCATCATATACTTGTGCTAGAAAAAGGCATGTTAGATGTTGTTATTTCAATCAATTTCAAACATGTTGACTTTGTAAATACTGCGAAATCTTTCAATAATCACACAGAACATGTAAATCGTTACTTGAATCTTTTTACTTTACTTAAAACATTAGAACTCTTCTATAAAGTTTGATTTTCTTGAAATATATTGGCTCATTTGAAAGCATGCAGCTTTAAGAAATAAGGATTTACTGTTGTTGAGTATTAAAAAGACTAAGAATAAAGTGTTATTTATTTGATTTAAGCTACTTAACTGAATAAACATTCCTGGAATGTCTTGCAATATCCTGGGTTGAAATAAAACAACTCTTTGTTCAAGATTTTTGCCTAAAAATCCTTACAAATAACAATAACATACACTTAAAACTTTTGAAATATTCAGAGTAAACAAGAAAGGTTTTAGATACCGACAGAAGAGGAAAAGTTTTACACAGACTGACAGGGGAGGTAACTGTAATTGGTTGACTTGGATACAACCCACATTAGTAGCGAAAGGAGTAAAAAGGTTGGTGTCAAGATTAATCTGTACAGTAATACTTAATGAAAATATCAACTATGCTATAGACATGTAAGTGACATGATACCCAAACTAGTTACATTATATGGACTGTGGGCCAATCAGTGCTAGAATTATCACCTTGATTAGGGTGTATCATTATGTTTAACTCCTAATATAATACAACATGTAACACAAAACAAAGGTTATAATACATTATGTATCATGGTATAAATCTGCAGTAAAAGTGATGGAACACATCATCTAAATTTAATTTCAAGCTACTTTAAAGTTTCCAAATCATAAAAATTGAATTTTAATGCACACTTAGATTTTAACATCTCTCTCCAAGTTAGTCTTAGTTAACTTGATAACTGCTTATTGTGAGTTAAGATAATTTTAAGATGATAATTGTTTTGACAGTCACCCCTTTGACTGGTTAAAAGAAATGTTAACAGTTTGTATTTATATGAGATTTTTTTATATTAGATATTGGATATTGTTTGCTGTATGTTTGTAGTTATGAAGACATGAGAACAACTACTGCTTTATACTTCCATACAAGACTGTTAATATGTCAACCAGAGCTTAACTACCCTCTTACTCTACAGGTAATGCAATACATTATCATGAATTATAACTAAATTATATCCAAAACTATAACACAACAAGAAATGTAATGAGTTCAAATACATGAGTACCACTGCAGTTTACCTAAATACTACAGGTAATATAACAGGTTATTAGACATGAGTACCATTGCAAATTACCTTAAAACTTTACAAGTAATGTTATGAGTGCCACATAAACCTACTTTAACAGTATAGGTTATGTTATAACTTATAAGACATGAGTACCACTTTAAATTAACTAAACAGTTATAAGACATATGAGCTGTATGAATTCTGTATCAAATGTTTTGTCTTATTCCAGGCATATTTTATGAAAGACTTCACCCTGTCTATTCTGTTCCTCACACAAACAGTAACACCATGCACCCAGGAGAATAGTGATGCTCCCCCGGGGGAACTTCCCTCCCCACGAAGTGTGAAATACATACACGAGGAACCCTCACAAGGGAAGATTTCCGAGGAAGCTGTGCGAGACTTTACTATGTCTCTGTTCAGAGTTCTAACACATTCAACAGAGTTCTGTGATGGCATTGCTAAAGTGGTTATACCAGTAGTTGATAGGTAATAAAAATGTTTAAAGAAATAAATATCATTCATTTTCTCAGATATTAATTTTTTTAAAGAACAATAGAATTTTATATTCAGTGGTTTTTTTTTTTTTCGTACATTTATATAAAGGTTTAACTTTATACCTACCCTGATTGATTTGGATAATGCAGTTCTTGTGCTGTAAATTGTTAGGACAAAGTACATAGAACTGTGATTTTATATATACATGTATTTAGTAATTGCTTTATAAAATAAAATGTAATGCAAACGGGTGAAGGGTTGAAAACAATTGAAAACATTTTTTTTTTTGTACTATGACAGTTATGATATCTTTATATTATGCAAATGAAATTTAGATATTTTTACGAAATTGATGAAAATTTAGCAATTTTAGAGGTACGATGATTATAATAACATGTATATATTTCAGATGTGGAGATTGGGGATGTCTGGATATCAGGCATGTACCTGGGAAAGATATGAAGGTAGGCTGATGTAAATGTTTAACACAGAAATAGGAAATTACAGTTAATTTATGTAATGTTCTTAAATTATTGACTAAGTTTTATTAAAAAAAGAATGTTTGTATTTTGGAAGCTTGGTTGTGTATATTTCATGTATCTTTCTTATTTCAAGTGATATTTTTATTTCAGTGTTTTTATCACACCAGTGGTTCCTAAAATGTTTTTATTTTCCTGTGATTAAAATAAAGATTGTCAATAATTGATGTAGTTATTTGATATATTTTCAGATACCAATCTGGATGGAGGGAATATTTACATGTTTGAAACCATTTGTACAAAGGTAAGCTTAAAAGTTCATTTCATATAACCATGTACTACCTTGAATATAGAAATGATATGTGGTGATAATGGAACTCAATTTTAGTTCATTAGATAATACAAGTTTAGACTTACTGATTTTGCTCAATCTATACATAATGTATGAAAATGTTTTCAAAAGGGACTGTTTTTAGATGTGTTTAGAAGTAGGTCAAACTTTATAATATATATTAAGATAAATAGGTCTAACTATTTGATAAATGTTTGCATGAAAATGTCTGACATTTTGAATTTTTTGCTTAGGTAGGCTAAACTGTCATTCTTTGAATATTTGTATAGATTTGTCCAACTTTGTAATATAAGATTTCTTTAGCAGGCAAGGCTATTGAGAAGTTGTTGACCCATGACTAACTTTGTTACTATATTTAGATGAATGTATAAATGAGACTGGTTCTGAGATGTAGTATTTATTTTAGAATTCTGAAACCAGTGATAGAGTTTGTGTTGTGTCAGTCAGAGATGCTACATATAACACCAGTTTCTGCTGTGATGGAAGAACTTCCCTGTGGTTGTCGAACTCATGCACCCACAACCACACCTAGGGCTTCAAGGAAATCAGATGGTATATCCTTTATTTTATCTAGAACAAATTTTCAGTTGAATAAAATTTAGTTAGAATGATTTTTAGGTTGATTAATGGAAGAGAGTTTGTGATCCATCCCCAAGTGTCAAGAAATCATGCATGAAGCATATATATTTATTTACCGTCTTCCCCAGTTCAGAAAGACAAACTATATATAACAGTAATAGTGTAGATGTTGATGTGACTTTGATCCAAAAATGAAACATTTTCTTTTCTTACTTACAGCTGATAGAGACACTGTGGATTCTGTACTAAGACTGGTGTTAAACCAGATAACTGAGGACATGTTTGTTTTACCTGTCAGTGTGTGTATGCTTTTTAAAGCTTTGGAGGCAGAATGTGTGACAAAAGGAACTAAAACTCCTCATCATTGTGTTGGAACAAAGGTACTTACTGTTTAGTCAAATGCTGATTGTTTGAAGTTAAACATCACTAAATACTTTTCAAATACATATTCTTATGAACCAGTTTCTATTCTCACTATGAAGATCTACTTTAGGACAACATCTTTCACTCAAATCTAAGGCATTTTCTTTATCTGTTCATGAGTGATGGAAATAAATGGCAAACTAGAAAGGACTTATTTTAATATTGACTACTTGTATAAATCAAGTTAATTGGAGCATGGACCCCTCCTAGGCTCTGTCTAAACTCAAGTGTATATTCTGGTAGTTAACTTCAGTAGATATTTGGTTTTACATGAACCATGCTAGACGACATCATGGTGCATTAATTACAACCATTGTTACTGTATGTGTCTGTGAAAATTGCTACAAAGGCACCTGAAACATGTCTTTGTTCTTTATACAACTCTATGTAAACCTGTATATTATGTGATGTTATATTATCCTAACTAGCTGCCATGTCATTATGCTATTGTGTTTATATATATATATTATATATATATATATATATATATATATATATATATATATATATATATATATATATATATATATTGTATGTATACATGTGTATGGGCAGGTGGCCTGAATGCAAATTTGAAATAAACAATGTTATAAACTGTACATGGCCACATTCAAAGTTCCTCATCAATTAGTGAACAGTTCTATATTAAGACATATTTTAAAGTAAAAATTGTGAAAAGTCTTGTGTTGTTCTATTGCAGCTGGTTGCCTTGGCCCTACAGCAGTATTTATTGAATACTACACAACTGAATGATCACCTTGGTTTTAATCTCAGTAATAATGTGATAGAGGAGCTGAAATTACTAGCTGACTGTATCTATCATGTTCTAGTGTCAGGGAAAGGTAAACTATTGATTCAAATATCAAAACACATTGATAATTAATGTTTGGAGACTTGTTACAAATGATATCGCAATTGTTGCAGCAATTAAGTAACTATCTTTATCTTTTCAGCCTCTTAAGATATGAATTTTGTTACAATACCAAATTTATGTAATGCCTGAAATAAGTTTATTCTACAAATAGGTTTTAACTGAAAGTAAGAATTAGAATCTAAGTTGAATGGCAGTTTTATTTTACTAGACAGTCATTGAATTTTACTAAGCTGGAAGTAAATTTTGGCAGATTTCAATAAATGAGCATTTTTTTCATGGAGGATAACCTTCAAAGTTTTGAGATAGTCATGTTCTAAGTGTCGGAAGGTTAAAATATTGATTCAAATATCAAACCATTGCTAATTAACTGGTTTGGGACTGTAAATGATCATGCAATGTGCAGCATTAGGTACTATCTTTATCTTTCACTTTAGATATGAATTTGTACAATCAATTTTGTATGCCTGAATAAGTTTATCTACAATTAGGTTTAATGAATGTAAGAATTGGAACAAGTAAGGACAGCACCCACTTCGCAGCAGAAAATGCTGAAAGAATACCATGTTACTTAAGCAGGAGTTTGAAAGACATGAAATTGATAAGAATGTTGTTTTTATAATTTTAGTAAAGGGTAGTTCTACACCAAGATTAGCTGGAAGATTTTGTAAGGACAACAAGGACTGGATCAATGATAAACTGCAGATTTTTGTGTTCTATCTCAACAGCGAGTAAGATATTTATATCTATATGTATAGAGTGTTACTATGGTAACTGTTGCTATTATCTTGAGAGGAAGTGTTATTGTTATAAGAAAACAAATTTACTAATCTACATAACCATGATAATTCATAGACATTCTTACTAGGGAACTTCGTAAGTTTAAGATATTCTTCAAGGTTGTAAGCCTTGGTTCTGTACTTTTCTTTACATTCATTATAAAATATTTGCAGATACCGAAACTCTGTAAAATTGTGCATCATGCTGATACAAATTTCATTAGGCTTAATGAGAAATTAAAAGAAAACTATATCTTTATCTAACGTTGTATAACTCAAAATTTCTTGTCAAAAGTCTGTTATTTAAAAAATCTCATTTTAAGTTTTTTATAACCTGTACATATCAAAAGTGATGGAACATTGTATTTTTTTGTTTTGTTTCAGAATCTTTGATTTAACAGAAAACGCTCTTCAGCATGCTGGGACAACAGAGTTTAAAGATCAAATGTACATGTCAATCACAAGTGATATACTCTCTACTACACATGGTTAGTTGTTTTTATGCATTATGCAACTATTAATATGAAAATGTATAATTAACAAAATATTAAGATACTATTAATATTATTTCAAAGAATGAAAATATTGCTAAATCAGTGGAGCAATTGTTGCACAATTTATGGTTTGGGTAAAGAAATAAAATACAGTATGTCACATAATGTATGTACTCAGCATTATTTTAACAGTTCTATGTATAAAATTTGTTATCTTCAATAATTTCAGGTTCAACTGACCTGCAGCGGTTATACTGGCTTCTACACAATAATGGTTCCTGGCTGCACAATCAACTGGACATAAAACATACATTACCCCTCACAGAAAGGGATACCAGCCTCAGTAACTTCACCCTCGACATGACCCCTCATCCAAAGCCAACATTCAACCCTCTGCAAGAACACCAGAGTATTGGACCTTACAAATTTGATCATGTGCGTATCATGAAGTACAGTAGAACTTCTCTATGAATCAAACTTCGATTAGTCAATTTTCTTGATGTGTCGAAGTTAAAATGAAAGTCCCGATTTTTTCACCCTATATTTTCTTTATAAAAACTTTGATCTCAGGCATTTTTCACACCTTTTTTTTTTCACACCTTTCTTGGCCGCAAAAATAATCACTGATCATCTTTTTTGACAGAAGTTTTTACGCAAGTCCCTTCAACTTTGACTTACCGAAGTTCTATTGTAGATTGTTATATCTTTCATATTTTATCAGATCTATTTCCTGTTGAGAAAATTTAAAGCTCACTAAACAGTTTATGTGATATCTCAATATTACTTTGAATTAACTAGGAATCATTTTGAACTTTGCTTGGGACCTTTGTTTTAAGTGAATGAAAATTTTCACCAATGAAAGACATGCTCTTAAAGACATTACTAAATGATACTTTTAATGTCTTACATTCAGGCATTTACACAAATTGGTTTGTAGGTCAGAATTAAAGTACACTGTACATCATTGTTTTGAAAATTTTGAGAAGGGTCTTTATTCTAATATGTTCGTGTCAAGATATTTTAGGATTTACTCTTGAAAAAATATCCCAACAAATTTGAGAATCAAATTTGTCAAATACTTTTATGGGAATTTTGTTATAGTGGTGATTTATCATCATATATACAAGTTGTCACTATGATTAAATCAATGTTATTACTATTGTAGGTAGCCATTGAGAATATACCTTTAGACTGGGAGAAACTATTACAAAATGACCTTGGACTCAGTGAACTAGGGTTTCGAACATTACTCTACAACCGGCACGAGATGCAAGACGGAGCATACCTAGAGGAAAGTGAGAAAAAGCCTGTTGCAAGTTTACGTGCCATATTTGAAAACGATCCAAGAGAATTGAGATGAAAATATGAGATATATTTGATAGACAAGATGTGAGGGAGATTTATGTATAATCTTGACAATGTGATAAAAGTGTTTGTTATTTTACATGAACAGGGTATACGTTATGATGATTTATATTCAACATTTTTATATGAACCAAGAGCTTAGAAATTTGGCATGTAGCATTGCTTAGGGTACCTATATCAGTTTTATAAATCATGACTCTGGGGTAAGGCATAGCCCCATTCTAGGAGGCACTTACATTATGTAGAAAACACATCTTTGAGAAATACTACAATGCCCAGCCAAAGCTTATATAATTGGCATGTAGCATTCCCTAGAAGACCTCTAGTTTTATGAATCATGCCCATTGGGTCAAAAATGTTCCTACTCCGAGAGTCATTTAGTATGATAAAGACATATAAGATCAAACATTTTTGGAGAAGCTGCATAAATTGGTCTCTTCACTAATTTAAAGATTCTTGTTACATGTATTACTCAAGACAAATTTTCACTTGGGTGTATATATTTCCATGCTTTGGTTGTGCACTTGTTTTGCCTTGATATGTATTTAATAAATTACACCTACTCTTTTATGTTAAGGCAGTAGGCTTTGAGAGTTGATATAGTTGGTGTATCATTGTATTGAAATAATCACAATTGAACATTGGGCAGTTCAAAATTCTGTGTATTACCGTTTAAAATTCACCCCTTAATGGTTGCAATTCAGGAAAACTACTTCTACTTTGCAACTTTAACACTGTATTTATAATTAGAATACAGGTCAAATTGGTGCTACATCCAACACAGCAAACATATTTAGATAATGTTAATGTTTATGTAAATTTTTCACATCTCCAGCATGGTTGTACATGTATTACCTATCTGCTATTTAGATTAAATTTCTTGTTTTACACAAGAAATATATTTCAGTAATTTATATCAGAAAGTAATTCATGGAAATAGTTGTTACACTTTCTGAAAAGGCATTTTAATTATTATTTAAAATCTTGTTTATAATTTTTAATTAAGTATTTTTATTGTTACAGGTTATAGCATTATTGTTGATTCTTGTTTATTTTTCTGATTGATTTTTTTCTGTCATTTTGAGTTTAGGAAGTCTGTAATTACAGGCTAGGACTGTGTATGGGTTTTAAACAAGCTACATAAATTTTGATTTGGTAGTTAATAAATGTTTTTGCATTATTTATTTTTTCTACTTCTCTCAAAATGAATCATACATGCACATGTATATCAGTTGTCAAAAATGAATATTTATGAAATAATTTATACATACAGATTTTTTTTTGAATATTTATTCTGTGAAAAAACAATAGATTTTTTTTTTGAATATTTACTCTGTGAAAAAACATTGTCCATTACAAACAAATAGAGTCCACCTGTACTGAGAACTGTTATTAATGCATTTCAATCTCCTGAAGAAAGTCTCCATAAGATGGTAACTGGTAGATTAAAATATATTTAACATACTCTGGTGAGGGGCTCTTGCTTCTCAATTTATAACCACAAAAAAATAAATAAATAAATAAAGGAAAAGTAAATGGAAACTAGAGTCTAGCCTGTGCTAATGACCTTTTTTGAGTAATTTTCAATTACATTGATTTCAATTATCATTTTTACACAGGGTTTGAATATAAATAATTTTTCATCACAAAAAATGTTATTTTGTTATCATGTCTTCTTATAAATTGTTTAAAGGAGGTTCATTTACATTGTTACTGTTAAGTGTATGTAGCTTATTGTATACCATTTAGTGCAATATATTTTTACAATTTTATCCGTCCTGTTAATTTCTTGTTACTAGGGCTGGGAACGAATAAGGAATTTGATGTTCGAATATTCTTTTTCTATATTCAAATATATTCGAATATTCGTTTTTAAAACATATGTTCCAATATTTCTCTTTGACGTATACGTATCCGAAATTAATTGCGTCGAATACAATACTACTTAAATATGCTTGGAATAATCGACGATTAAAAATACCTTTATTACTACGTAAGTTTTTTTTTATTTTATATATTGTAAATCGACATATATGTTTACTTTTGAAATAAATTCATGATTCGATTGCCTTTTGTTCAGTTAATCCGACTGCTTAGCAATAACACATAATTATATTGAAACTTAACTTGTATTAAATATTTTTTTTAATTTATTTATAATTTAGATAAGGTGTAAAACATTCTTCAGATAAATTTGCAGTAAATATCACACAAAGTCTGACGGAATATAGACACTTACCATGCTTTCATAAAGCACCGATTAATGCGTGTTGATTTTTTCGTCTTCACAAAATTTAATACAATTATTGATTAATCGGAAAGGTCATAGCACAGAAAATAATAAATAAGATAATCAAAATCGGAAAGAATTACATAATAAACTGTTAAACAGGTAAATCACAAACTGTGAAACTGGTGTCCTTTTGATCAACTAGACCCCAAGGTTTTCACAGTTAATTGGCGATAATCTTTGACACACGTCATACAAACATGTGAACACCTGGTCAATAAAGGTTAATGGTTTAATTTACGATCTTAATTGAAATTTGAAAGTATTAACAAAAAAAACATTGTTTTTTTTTTGAATATTGGTATTCGTTTTTCAATGTTTCGAATATTCGGAAGTGTTTCGAATATTCGAATATAATTCCCGGCCCTACTTGTTACCCTCACTGATATTCATTTCAAGTATTTATTTATCTATTTATTCAATTTTTATTTATTTATTTATTCTTTCATGCCAATACAATAACCAATTGTTATGTGTACATTAATTCTGAAGGCTGCAAATTAAATGAGAAATATGGTTTTGTGTTACCTTTGTCATATCTTCTGTGAATAGAAAACATCGGTCACTTCTGTTCACTGTAAGCATCAAATGTAGTTTTGTTGCCCCATCTGTGAACAGATGTTGTGGAGCTGTGAACTGATAAACCCCATTTGTTAAGTTATTGTGGAGATAAACATCGACTTTGAACAGTTACACTCTATTTGTCATTATTGTGTACCAAGTCTAGCTGTGCATATCATCTTCATTTTTCGGTTCAATAATTTTTGTCGGAGTTCTGGCCCTGTAATGAATTTTATTTTCAAGTTTGTCTGGACTACTGATCTTATACCAGTAATGCAATTTTTAATTGAAATTTTACAGGATTGATCGGCAGCTCAAGTACTTGCGCATATTACAAGGGTTTTCCGCTTGAATGGTTTTTAGCTCAACTTTTTAAAAAAAAGGTAGGGGTATTGTTTTAGTCATGATGGCATTGCCATTGCCATCCGCAAACTTGTATGTTGATCATAACATTTTAAGTTCTGCGTGTATTGTCTTCATAATGGCCACAACAACCCTTGGGAGAATACCTTTCAGTAGACCAGACTAACCTTGACCTTCATCCATGAATGACCTTGACCTTCAAAGTCAAATAGTTTTTCACTGATTTTTGTGTCGCCTCTACGGAGTAGTGGCGACATATAGGGATCACTTCTCCGTCGTCTGTCTGTCCGTCTGTCTGTCCGTCTGTCTGTCTGTCCGTCCGTCCGTCACAAAACTTGTCCGGACTACTTCTCATAAACTACTGGTGCAATTTCATCCAAACTTTACAGGAATGATCAGTACCAAGTCTAGTTGTGCATATTGTCAACATTTTCCGGTTCAATGATTTTTGGCAGAGTTATGGCCCTTTAATAATTTTTAATTTTAAAGTTTGTCCGGACTACTTCTCTTATACCACTAATGCAATTTCTATGAAACTTTACAGGATTGATCTGTAGCTCAAGTCCTTGCGCATATTGCAAGGGTTTTCCGGTTGAATGATTTTTGGCCGAGTTATGGCCCTTTGATAAAAAGGTTTCTTTTTCTGTGTGTTGCCAGATACACAAAAGCTTGTCCGGACTACTCCTCATAAACTACAGGTGCAATTTCATCCAAACTTTACAGGAATGATCAGTACCAAGTCTAGTTGTGCATATTGTCAGCATTTTCCGGTTCAATGATTTTTGTTTGAGTTATGGCCCTTTAATAATTTTTATTTTTAAATTTGTCCGGACTACTTCTCTTATACCACTCATGCAATTTCAATGAAACTTTACAGGATTGATCTGTAGCTCAAGTTCTTGCACATATTGCACGGGTTTTCCGGTTGAATGATTTTTGGCTGAGTTATGGCCCTTTGATTAAAAGGTGTTTTTTTTTCTGTGTGTTGCCAGATACACAAAAGCTTGTCCGGACTACTCCACATAAACTACTGGTGCAATTTTATCCAAACTTTACAGGAATGATCAGTACCAAGTCTAGTTGTGCACTGTCCATCTGTCTGTCCTTCTGTCACAAAATTTGTCCCAACATGAAATTGGCCATCATGAGGCGACACATGTGATTACTGATCGCTCTTGTTATTGTGTCGCCTCTACGGAGTAGTGGCGACATATAGGGATCACTTCTCCGTCGTCTGTTCCGTCCGTCTGTCTGTCCGTCCGTCCGTCACAAAACTTGTCCGGACTACTCCTTATAAACTACTTGTGCAATTTCGTCCAAACTTTACAGGAATGATCAGTACGTACCAAGTCTAGTTGTGCATATTGTCAGCATTTTCCGGTTCAATGATTTTTGTCAGAGTTATGGCCCTTTAATAATTTGTATTTTTAAAGTTTGTCCGGACTACTCCTCTTATACCACTAATGCAATTTCAATGAAACTTTACAGGATTAATCTGTAGCTCAAGTCCTTGCGCATATTGCAAGGGTTTTCCGGTTGAATGATTTTTGGCCGAGTTATGGCCCTTTGATAAAAAGGTTTCTTTTTCTGTGTGTTGCCAGATACACAAAAGCTTGTCCGGACTACTCCTCATAAACTACAGGTGCAATTTCATCCAAACTTTACAGGAATGATCAGTACCAAGTCTAGTTGTGCATATTGTCAGCATTTTCCGGTTCAATGATTTTTGTTCGAGTTATGGCCCTTTAATAATTTTTATTTTTAAATTTGTCCAGACTACTTCTCTTATACCACTCATGCAATTTCAATGAAACTTTACAGGATTGATCTGTAGCTCAAGTTCTTGCGCATATTGCACGGGTTTTCCGGTTGAATGATTTTTGGCTGAGTTATGGCCCTTTGATTAAAAGGTGTTTTTTTTCTGTGTGTTGCCAGATACACAAAAGCTTGTCCGGACTACTCCTCATAAACTACTGGTGCAATTTTATCCAAACTTTACAGGAATGATCAGTACCAAGTCTAGTTGTGCACTGTCCATCTGTCTGTCCTTCTGTCACAAAATTTGTCCCAACATGAAATTGGCCATCATGAGGCGACACATGTGATTACTGATCGCTCTTGTTATTGTGTCGCCTCTACGGAGTAGTGGCGACATATAGGGATCACTTCTCCGTCGTCTGTCTGTCCGTCTGTCTGTCCGTCTGTCTGTCCGTCCGTCCGTCACAAAACTTGTCCGGACTACTTCTCATAAACTACTGGTGCAATTTCATCCAAACTTTACAGGAATGATCAGTACCAAGTCTAGTTGTGCATATTGTCAACATTTTCCGGTTCAATGATTTTTGGCAGAGTTATGGCCCTTTAATAATTTTTAATTTTAAAGTTTGTCCGGACTACTTCTCTTATACCACTAATGCAATTTCTATGAAACTTTACAGGATTGATCTGTAGCTCAAGTCCTTGCGCATATTGCAAGGGTTTTCCGGTTAAATGATTTTTGGCCGAGTTATGGCCCTTTGATAAAAAGGTTTCTTTTTCTGTGTGTTGCCAGATACACAAAAGCTTGTCCGGACTACTCCTCATAAACTACAGGTGCAATTTCATCCAAACTTTACAGGAATGATCAGTACCAAGTCTAGTTGTGCATATTGTCAGCATTTTCCGGTTCAATGATTTTTGTTTGAGTTATGGCCCTTTAATAATTTTTATTTTTAAATTTGTCCGGACTACTTCTCTTATACCACTCATGCAATTTCAATGAAACTTTACAGGATTGATCTGTAGCTCAAGTTCTTGCACATATTGCACGGGTTTTCCGGTTGAATGATTTTTGGCTGAGTTATGGCCCTTTGATTAAAAGGTGTTTTTTTTCTGTGTGTTGCCAGATACACAAAAGCTTGTCCGGACTACTCCACATAAACTACTGGTGCAATTTTATCCAAACTTTACAGGAATGATCAGTACCAAGTCTAGTTGTGCACTGTCCATCTGTCTGTCCTTCTGTCACAAAATTTGTCCCAACATGAAATTGGCCATCATGAGGCGACACATGTGATTACTGATCGCTCTTGTTACTATTAGAGCCTATAACTTTGTTATTGTTGAATGGATTTTCTTCAATAAGAACATAATAATCTTTTAGGATAAACCTTAAAGTTGACCAGAGAGACCTTGACCTTCACTCATAAATGACTGACCTTCAAGGTCAAAATAAATGTCCAAATTTTGCTTGTTTCTTGCTTTAAGTGGTTATAACTTTGGTATTTTTGAATGGATTGTCTTCAAACTTGAACATAATAATTTTTAAGGATAGCCCTTTAAGTTAATCAGAAAGACCTTATCCTTCACTCATATTTGATCTTGAAGCTCAGATTAATGAAATTTACATTTTTCTTGCTGTTACTTTGTTATTATTGAATGGATTGACTTCATATTATAACAGAACATTCTTTAGGATAAGACCTTAATGCATTTAAACTCAAATTGACTTTGGCTTTATTATAACCTTGACCTTGAAGGTTAAAATATTGAATTTTCACTGATTTTTGCTTTATTTGACTGTAACTTGGTAAGAGATGGAGTATCTTTATACTTTGACAAAACAACATATTGGACAAGAACTTTTTAAAGGTTGAACTAACCTAGACATTGAGCTTTAAATGACCTTGACCTGCAAGTCAAATAATTAAATTTTATGTTAAATTGTCATAATGCTGTAACTTGCTATAATATATGTACACACATAAAAAAAAAAGAAAACATAACTTTTTTTCTTTATGATTTGTTTAAACCGTTTATTTCTTTGCTTTTAGAAAAAGTAAAAAGGTCAAGCGTTGCTCCCCCTTGGCGGTGGCTCTTACTGGCCTATTTATGGCCCTTTAATTAATAGTGTCGCTAAAGTCTATCCCTCATATACCACGAATGCAATTTCATTGAAATTTTGAAGGATTGTCTGGTACCTCAAATACTTTTGCATATTACACAGGTTGTCTGGTTGAATGATTTTTGAATGAGTTATTGCCCTTGAAAAAAAGTGTTTTGCCCAGTTAATGATTTTTGTGTCTTCTATCACACAGAAGCTGCCACATGCAATAAGCTATCATGAGGTGACACGTGATCACTGAGCGCTCTTGTTTCTCATAGTTTACATTGTTCTTGTCACACAGGACACCTTTCTTTTATCATAGGTTAAAGCAAACGAAATATATCAAGAATTATTACAAGAATTTTCACACTGTCATAATATTTTAGATTAAAATGATTAAAAAAAGCTCTACACCAATAAAAGTCTCAATTTTAGTATTGTGAATGAATTTTATCGAGAACCTAAATAAATATTGATAAACACAGGCAATTTGCAAAAAGAACAAACTTTGACATTTGAGTAAATAAAAAACAAATAATTCGGGGCAATATATTGATAAAAAAATAACAAATGTTTGTTTTTTAACACATGTACTAAATCAAATAAATACTTTATAAATAATTTACTGAATAAACAGGGTGAAACTAGTAGATAAAAACAAATGCTTTGTTGAATTAAACTTGCTTTTTATTTTCCTGCTTGACCCTCAGGGGCTAGGATAGTTTATTATATTATTGAATTGAGCTGATATTATTTTTTAAAAGTTGAAATCAATATACCCGTCATTACATACAATATCATTAAAAGTTAACGTTTCATTGTCTTTCATTACGACAAAGATCAACACAAATATAGTTTATTTGTTTTCCCTATTCACGAATTCGAAAACCTAGCTAAACGCCGTTTTGCGGTACTTTCTGTACATAGCTCTGGGGAATTCGCCTAATTGAGTGTAATAGCGAACTCAATGTTTTCGGCCTTTTTTTAAATTAAACTGAAATAAAACAGTTATTTCTTTATAAGAAAATAATTCAATATCATGGTATGAATAATTCCATACAAAAAATAAAGTAAATACACAAGTTTACGCAGAAAATAACCTTATTTATTATGGAAGATTCCACTACGTCTGTTTGAATTTTATTGATTTTAATTATAAACAATTTATTTTTTTGAATAATTTGCAGTAGATATTAAACTAATATTGATAATTTTCAAAATCATCAATTTTTTTCACCTTAAACGGTTAAATAATGATAGAAAAATAGACATATCTCGTAACTGTGTTATGTACTTCATTTGGTGTAATTCCCCAGAGCTAAAACGGTAATGTACCGGAAAACGGTGTTTAGCTAGGTTTTCGAAAAGGTCAATAAGATCCCGGGACCGAACCCTCCTCCGGTTCTGTCCGCGTTTTAGACTTTGCCCTTAAATTAGAATTACTCCCCCTTAGTAATCATTCTTCAATGCGCGGTATTTTGTAAACAAATATTTTTGCAAACTCCTTACAGCGGTTACGTCACGCTTTGCTACTTTAACCACTGCCACCACTGAAATCACGTGATGATAGTTGTATCATGTGACAAAAACATGGCGGCCAGTTTCAGAACGCCAAGGATCCCATATCAAACTGGCAGATTTATAATTACATCCTTACCAGACAAAATAAGTTCAAGACACACAATTTGTTATCACTTTAAAACAAGTGCGGGATCAAATCTTTTTTGTGCAATCGTTCAATAACTGTTTATATTCTGCCATTGTTTACTATGCATACGGTGTCACAGTGAAAATATCTTTCGTTATGTTTACAAAATAATTTTTATACGTATATTTTTTTACTTTCTTGTACATTAAGCATAACTATTTAACGAAAGAAAACTAAAATGATATAAAGTAATCTATTTCAAAATTAAAAGTGAAAAAAATATATCCGGCTATATTCGACCGAATTTACTTGTGGTGGCAGTGGTTACTGTACAGATCAGGGGAAGTAACCGCTGCGAGGAGTTTGATATTTTTGTTGAATAAAATGAACAGACAACACCAAGAAGTAAGTGTAAATAATTTTGGACCAAAAATAATGCAAGTGAAGGCCAGCCTGCATATATCAATCGGTTAGATTATACACGTGATGGGTCTTTATTCGACATTTTTGTGAGAACCATTTTCCTTTGCAGTAAGCAAACAGGACGTTTCGGCCCCAGTGGGAAAATCGGCCCCTGGACGTTTCGGCCCTTTTCCGCGAGACGTTTCGGCCGTACTATATAGTACATTGCTGAATTGATTAACAACAATTAATTTAATTACAATTAAACAGTTATGACACTTTAATTCTTTAAATGATTAATGAAGGTGATTCTGCTTTGTCAGCCATGTTTGTTTTCACTATGTGGGGCCAAAGTGAAAGTAGGCCAAAATTCATATAACAACAAAGCTCACATTGACCTTTTCGAAAACCTAGCTAAACACCGTTTTATGTTACCGTTTAAGGTTAATGTTACGGTATGTTACCGTTTAAGCTCTGGGGAATTACACCAAATGAAGTACATAACACAGTTACGAGATATGTCTATTTTTCTATCATTATTTAACCGTTTAAGGTGAAATAAACTGATGTTTTTGAAAATTATCAATATTTGTTTAATATCTATTGCAAATTATTCAAAAAATAAATAGTTTATAATGAAAATCAATAAAATTCAAACAGACGTAGTGGAATCTTCTATACTAAATAAGGTTATTTTCTGCGTAAACTTGTGTATTCACTTTATTTTTTTACAGAATTATACATACAATGATATTTAATTATTTTCTAATAAAGAAATAAGTGTTTTATTTCAGTTTAATTTAAAAAAAGGCCGAAAACATTGACTTCGCTATTACACTCCATTAGGTGAATTCCCCAGAGCTATGTACAGAAAGTACCGGAAAAAGGCGTTTAGCTAGGTTTTCGAATTCGTGAATTGTTATATGATGAGCCATTTGCAAGTACACTTCCAGTTCTATGTTTTAAAGACTATTTTAAACAAAAATAAAAATGATAACAATAAGAAAATTTACCTTGAATGTGCTACATTTCTGAAGACCAAAAACATTTTGTTGCAAAGTTTTATGCACATTTCATGAATGGCAAAATCCTTTTTAAAGTCTGTTTTAGTGCCTACAAAAGCTATTTTTTGCAGAAAATACAAAAAACTTTAAAAAATATAAACCTTAGGAAAGTAGTTTATCTGACCTTGAAAAATCATGGCCACCATGACATGTGTAAAAAAGTAGCACCATGAAAATAAACATCATTTACCTATCTCTTGTGTACATGACAAACAGACACACTTCACTGTTACACATTAAAAAGGTTAGATTTTAAAGTTTGATTGTGTTTTCATTTTAATTGTAGTTCATAAGGCTATAAATGATGATTGTTATCTTGCACTAGCCTAATTAATTCGGCGTGAACGGTTTGACCCATTTTACAGACTTTTTTTTTCTTACTGTCAAACCGTTACGCCTAATTTTAACTGTCATTTTTACGCACGGAAAATCTACCGGTAACACTATCGATAGTTTGGACTGATTTTTACTGCTTAAACCTAACTTCAATTACCTCTAAAGATCAATAGAATATAAATTTTAGTACTAACTTCTCCTAGAAAAAATATTAGATTGTACCTGTCTTAACGTATACATGCCGATTTATTTCAAATTTGTACTGTCTACTCTATCTTCGGCCGGACATGTTATGACGTCATCGTCAAAAAAATCGATTCCGTGAAAGCTGGTAGTAGCTACCAGTGTGTCTAGCAGGTAAGTGTGGGTTACGCATGAAGATTAAATTAAACAAAATATCGGGGGAAATAAATCTATTCATTATTTTTAATAAATGTGTGCATTATTAAATACTATTGAAAAAGTATCATTTGTATATAACCTAAATGCAATGGTCGCAAATAGGCTCCGTACAAGTACTGTTGTTTAATATTTTTTAAAATATTTTAATACATGTACTCAACATTTATCAATTGGTGGTTTGCCTTCTTGTTTACTGCAAATGACTGCCAAATGTCACTCTCGGATAAAATACTGACTTCATTTATACATGCATATTTTATATGACAATTAAGAACGTAAAAAACTATATTGAAGGAAACTATTTGAAATACACAAATTATTCAGTATTTTGTACAAATAATATTTCAAGAGCTCTTTTTCACCGATTGCCGATATATAATACCATATTAAACCTATTGATAAAGTTAAATGTTCTTCTTGACATACTTTATTAAATTACTAAAAAGGAACTTTATTGTGATCCAGCCATATGCTGATTGTAACTATAAAGGAAGGGTCACATATTTTAATTGAAATAAATTTTAAGTAGAGGATATTAAAAAAAAAGTCATTGAGAAGATCAGAATTTTCAAATGAACAGATTAAGAGACTTATAAATGTTTAAGGTGTATGTCTTGTTGTTTCATACTGTTTTGGTGACACTTTTGTTTGTGTCCCTTGTTGTTTTCTCGTCTAATGGTAAGTATCTTCCCCTTGCCCCTAGTTTTATTTCTTTATTTCGCCCCCTCCCCCAAATTTCCTATCCCCTTCCCCTGTGCCCGTTAGCTTAGTGGTCCTGTTTCATACGGTTTTGGTGACACTTTTGTTTGTGTCCCTTGTTGTTTTCTCGTCTTTGGTAAGTATCTTTCCCTTTGCCCCTAGTTTTATTTCTTTATTTCGCCCCTCCCGAATTTCCTATCCCCTTCCCTGTGCTCGTTAACTTAGTGGTTCTATTAATCATTCATTTATTTATTTTCTTTGATTTCCTTCTCAGTTACATTTTAGTGATAAGCCTGACCGTGCTCTCCCTTGCGCCCTGTCCCGTTTTAATTTAGGATCCTCCTGGGCTCCTTGCCAATGGTTCATGTTCCTGGGTCGTTGTGGGGGTTGCGTTCATTGAACGCCGCCTTTCCTCTTGTTCATCTTGTTTATCATTGTGTAAACATGTTGCCGAACCGTAACAAACAGATAATGATTATCAATACAAGGTTCGGGCAAGCAAGCAAAGAAATGTAAAGAAACAGAAAAAACTTATTCCACATTCATGTATCCACCCTCCAAAAAAAAACACACCAAAATACGCCTGTAACTGCAAAAATCGAAAACATAAATACACAGGAGTGCCAAAAGACGGCTCTGGTAGGTGCAAGTGCTCCCTTTCGCTGGTTTAAACAGAATTGATCACTTAAACATAATAATGTTGAAATTTTTAATCAACATCCACAGATGTGTACATAATACGGCGGTAATCATGGAACTTTCAATGTGACACATTCGAGGTGCCGTTCAACGGGAACTAGATAACATGGAATTTTTAATTGGTATCAGGTTTTGGTGTCCTTTTGCGTCAGTCGTTCTACATTTCTCCCATCTGTCTTACATTGTTATGCTATTCAACGTCTAAATAACGGTCACTAAATTTCCGCTTGCTGCGTTTTTATCATAAACCCCGTCAAATCTGTGCGACAATTGTATTTTACTGAGGACTGTCTGAAATTCCATTTTATAGTTTGAAATTTTAAGATTTTTTTTCAGAATTTTAAAGTTATTTTTGGTTGTTTTGAACTTCTTCCCCTACACAACCGTCCTCAATTTCTTTTAAGATAATAAACTAGAAATTGATATGGAGTGTAATATAAATTGAAATTCTTCTTTGCTTCATCATGTATAGTATAATTATAATTCATTAAGATGTACCTACAATTACATTGTATTTTCGTATGTGGGAAATCATGGCAGGGTTATAAAATAAAAAGGTAGTTCAGAAATTTCACCTAATGATCACAGATGTTAAAAAATCCAACTTAATTATATCTAATTTGACAATTTAAACGGACTTAAATGCAGTATGATCTGACATCGGACATCATAAACTATTTAATTTCTAAGTAAGGTTATCAGAATTTCCTTTTCACATTCTCTTTTTAATTCTGAAATATTTGTGTTTGAATAAAAGAGTTATTCCTGCAATAATTCATATAAATAACATAAACAAATTGTATAATAAAGCTTGGCAAATACAATCGATTGCCGCCGATACCTGTGTTACACCATGGATTTTACCATGACACCGATTTCCAATATGGCCGCTTTCAATAATTTTCAACGATTGAAAAATTAAAGTGGAATATTTAGACTTCTGTTCGACTTTGAAGTATGATAATTTGGAACCTTGCATAAAAAACGATTCTCTTTCAGGTAATGTAGACCGTTTCTTTGAAACTTTTCTAGTTTTCGCTCCCAACAACTTCTAATTGGGAAGCGTCCGTGCATAAAAATGCAGTTCGTGGTTGGACTTGGAAAAAAGACAGCGCCCGTCCAAAATTATCTCGGTGTCTCTTTGACAAGTCTAATTAGTTGGACTAATCTTGCACTACTTTTTTACAAAAAATAATGGAGGCCATGTGCTTAGAAGGACATGAGATACGGATTTATTTGGAGTTAAGTTTTGAAAGATTTTTGTATTTGCTGCAAAAAATAGCTTTTGTAGGCACTAAAACAGACTTTAAAAAGGATTTTGCCATTCATGAAATGTGCATAAAACTTTGCAACAGAATGTTTTTGGTCTTCAGAAATGTAGCACATTCAAGGTAAATATTCTTATTGTTATCATTTGTATTTCTGTTTTAAATAGTCTTTAAAACATAGAACTGGAAGTGTACTTTCAAGTGTTTCATCATTTTACATTGTAATCTTTGTTCTTATATGAATTTTGACCTACTTTCACTTTGGACAGACTTGGTGAAAACAAACATGGCCGGCAAAGCAGAATCACCTTAAATATTATCTTTTGATCTCTTGAACCATTTAGATGTAGTCAAGTCAAGTAAATTTTATTTACAAGTCGGATACATCAACAATAAACATAAGCTCTGATGAGCTTTTTACACCGTTTACTATAATATAAGACACATGTTTAAGATATCATAGATGACGAAAATGGTTATGATAAAATAAGACAAATGGCATTGCATTAACAAGAACACTGAAGAAGAGTAGACAAACAGCACTGTACTAGCATTCATCAGTAGCATACAAAAGTAAGAAGTAATACATATCAGATCTAATAAAAAAATCCATTTATAAACATACTAAAGGTTAAGATCACACATCACAGCTTATATTTATTACACACACATTTAAGCAGAGGAACATCAAGCATACATACACTCAATAAAATTCATAGGCAAACCAACTTATAAAAAGAGCAAATTATATATAAATAAATAAAACATTGTTAGGACTAAGAAATAGAATGACAAGGTTAAAATATGCATAATGAACATCAACCCTGACATTAACATACACACAAACATTCAAGTTATACATGTATATAAAAAATGATACATAGCTTAAATTTATTAGCACATAAAAATAGAAATAAGTCTATCACAATAAAAGCACACAAAAGCATAGCACATAAAATAAAAATAAATCTATCACAATAAAAGCACACAAAAGCAGCTCATATAAGATAATTAAAACAAGCACATTGATGAAACAAAAACAAAGCAAAAGTAACTACAGGGTTCCCACGCTGTCCGGGAAAACGGGAAATGTCCGTGAATTTGAAAACACTAGCTCCCGGCCTTGAAAAGTCCGGGAATTAGTGTTGATACAGAAAAAAGTCCGGGAAGGTACGGGAATTAGTCTGGAAAAGGGGAGGTAAATCAAACAACCAAAATGGCGGTCTTAGCACAGTATATTGATTTCCGCATCTTGAATGTTGATGATTTTTCGATTTACAAGTGTTTTAAGAGGCCAATTTTGACATTTATGAGATTTAACATTTATTTTCTGGTTACTATTGCGGTTTTGTTTGGAAAATCTTATAAGACAGACACAAATCGACCCCAAGTTTGCTTCATTGGCCTGTGCTCAAAGCACATGAAAAAGATGAAAGCTCACAGGTATGGTTGTGTCCTTGGGCAATGTTTTTTATCCTAATTGCTCACAACCATGCTAAAAGCCAAAGGTATATCAATATAAAATTAACAATAGTATTACATTAATTTACATACATGAACTATTGTAAAGGCAGAGCACAGCCAATTGGCCACACGGGTAGCACGAAATACCTAAGTATAGCCAATATATACTAAAAATAATGTGTTGTACTAATAAAATTGTGTTTTAAATCATGAATACAATATACAATTTCACTAAGATGTAATCAAACATACCCAAATATACATTTTTAAACACCGCCCCCCCCCCCCCCCTCCCGTAGCACTGACTTAAGCAGAATACAACATTTAAACATGAAAGTTGTGAAATTTTGAATGTCGAATCACCTGCAGGCAGTTTTCATAATTTTACCCTTCAGTGTGACATGCTTTTGCCATTCTTTGAAGCCTTTAAGTGGACTGAGGTCAAATGTGTGGTAACTTATTTAATAAGTACTATGAATATCTGGTCAAAAAGTGATCCCTTGAAACATTAATGACAGCAAAATTACATGAAAATGGCACACAACCTGCAAAAACAGTTTCTGTCACAAAGTACATTTCATTATTTATAGACACTGAATGTATTTCTTAGATAGAGTTAGATTTATGTCATGAACTATATGTATTTTATTGGTGTTGCTAAACATTACCATGAACATATTCAAAGGACAAAAAAAATCAAATAGCTTGAAATTTTATCTTCTAAAAAGTCCTTAAAAAATCAAAAAAGGTCCTTGATAAGTCCTGGAAAAGTCCTTAAATTTTCAAAATATCTAAGAGTGGGAACCCTGTAACTAAGAACTTGAAACATCCAGCATGTCGCTGCCAACATTTTTTTTTTTTTTTTTTTTTGATGATGTACATGCGTTATGTGATATTACATGAAGTACAAGAGCAGTTCTCCCCTTGCCAAGTATTTATCAATGATCTAAAATGGTTAAAAGATGAAGTTTGTCTAAAATTATCTGGAAGTTTATTCCAAAGTTTGGCAGCGGCATACCGGAAAGATTTCTTACCATATCTGTCAGTTCTTGGTAAAGGTACCTCAACAATATTGGTGTGTCTAAAATTATATTTAGAATGTTTAAGATGTAGTAAATCATTTAAATAAACAGGAGACATATCATTTAGAATTTTGTATGTTTCTAAAGCAATTGCTCTTAATCTCCTAACTTTCAAAGAAATAAGGCCGGACTTCTCAAGTAGTATAAGTTTAATATACGTTAATGTTTTTAAAGGTGTAACAAACAATAAAGCAGGTACGTATATTAACCTGAATAAAGGCAGGTTTATCCTTAATTTATAAAATAAACCACTTAAACTTCTGGATTAAGAAAGTTAATTACAATTATTCCTTAGAAAACATCTTTTGATCTTAATTAATCTATGTAATTTTTTCAAGGTGTAACTGAATTACTGTTTATTTCCCAAAAATTAATTAGTTTTGCACCTATTGCACCTAGAAATGTTGTTGTTATTATATATACTGATTTAATGATTGATTAACCAGATTAACATCAATTCAAAAGAAAGATCAGTGTAATTAAAAAAACAACTGAAATAATTGTAACACGTGCTATTATAGGAATCGATATTTTTTTAAATACAGAATATACAATGACGGTACAGAAACAAAGAGTAAAGTATAAATCGTATCAATTTATTTATTAATTTAATCAAACAATGTTGACAGTGACAAAATAATTATAGATATTATGGCTTCTGTTTTCTTTTAATTGTAAAATTACATGACCGAATGTTTCGATTTTCACGTGCATGAACAACTAACTTTCCTTACCTGATAATTAAATGTGTTAGATTTTTCAATATCAAGGAAATAATTGCGAGTAGCTATTTATTGTGAGATATTTATAAACATTGAACTTTACATTGAATGCAACAAGTATCTAATCTTAAATGGTTTTGGTAAAGATTTAATCTTACGTAAAATATATAGAAGGTATCGTATTTCTTTTCATATATGGTTGTAATATAAAGTCAAGGTATTTGGAAATTGGCGTTCCACTTCATGAAAATTGTCATTTATGATTATTATAACTATGAAATTTTAATATACCGGTTTTAACCCATACTTATTCTGGGGCCGATTTGGTAAAGGGCCGAAATGTCTGGGGCCGAAACGTCTTGGGTAATTTTGGGCCGATACGTCTTGGGGCCAAAATGTCTCGAAATCTTTTCCTTTTTTCATGTTTGCAAAACACATAGCTAATTATTTTTTGAAATGGTAGTCCTTAAAAATATATGTTACATATGCAAAAAACAAAATTGGTTAAATAACTTCTATTTGCTGTAAGTCATTGCGCCAACGGCAACACTAGCTTAAGGTCTTCAGGGTATATACTAGTAGGAAATGACGTGAATGCAGACAGACCATGCAGACCCGTAGGGAAAGTTCACCAAATTAATAATCGTGCTGAGATTGAGGAATCTGACATGCTCGTATTCATTCATCAATATGCCAGGGCTGCAGATAACATGCGTATTTGCGTTATTACCCAATTAAAATGTCTAAAAACCCAATAGAAATAATAACTAAGGGTAAGAAAAAGTAAATGAATTCTTATTTATACAAACTACATTTGAACTGGTGCGTAATGACGAAAATTATTACTTATCGCGTACATCAAGCAGATCATACTGTTTCAGACTGTTTTAACCTTTAAATTATATAAGGCAACTTGGAAATTTCCTAGGCCAATAAACCATAAAGCAAAGTAGTAAGTAGCTTTTTTATTACCGTACAAAACCTACAAATGTCTACAATGAAGGTCAAAAATTTTGGGTAAAATGCATGAAGTTCAACTTGTACTTTATAACCCAAATTGGTTAGAGGGGGTAGGGTAAAAAATACAGAAATAACTCAAAGAAAATAGAAAAAATCCAATAGATCACAAAATAAGGGGTAATTACCCAATATACACAAAATGTTATCTGTAGCCCTGATATGCCATGAAAAAAGTGAAGCATACCTTGATAAAACTACGTAGGATGGTCCCCTATGGTACCACTGTTCTTATTATTTCCAGGAAATTGTACACATGAAAAGTACTTGTATTTACTATTTTATTAAATTGTGTTTAACTGTCGCATCTTGACTTTAAAATACACATGTCATTCATAGAATAATTCAATGATTTAAATTAGAATCATCTATGGTCATTTAAGTCATGTTTTGAATGGGAGCTTAATCGGAGAGCACTATGGTACCGTGGTATGTAAATTGATGGCCCTTTTTGGCTTCAGTAGAATGTTTTCAACAGAATATGACGTCACTGCAGTTTCAGCAGACAACCTTCATTTGTCAGAACATGAAATTATCAGTTTAACCAGTAAATATGGGATAAAATAAAAAAAGTATTTCCAACACACTCGGGCAGCTTTGGATTTTCCTATCAATGACAGAAATTTATTTGAAATAAAAATATTTCTAACATTTTTTTTATCCAAATTAAAAAAAGCAGCACTTCCACTTTCACTTTAATGTAAAGAAACAAATTTTCTGATTGCACCGGATTGGGCAAGGACGCGGTACCCGCGGGGAGTACTATATAATCTGTTGATAAGCCAAGGCCCAACTAAACTTAAGTAGGGAATTATTAATTTTGAAGAAATATTGATAAATGTAATGTGAAATATTTGATAAACATTTAGATATATGTTTATAAAGAGCAGTGCAGTGGTTGATATTAGCACTAGGCCATCCGTAAAGATCTAGTAGATTTTCTCTCTACCCAATATTACAACACATGTCATACAGCTTTTTATGACTGTATTTCAGGTTCAAGTATGGTTAGAGAGAGTTTTTGGGGACCAGTCTGTGCCTTCATATGAGCTTAACCAGTCTACAGTCAGCATGCTATTCAACCTAATGAGAAGAAATGAGCAGAAAGAGAAAGACTGCCAGCTGCTGATTGAAGATCTTAGACAAAAGGCTGAGGAATACAATGTTGAAAGTAAATAGATTTAGGCTGTTTTTTTCTCTCAGTCACTAAGAGTAGAAGAGTGTACTGTATAATGTTTGGACTTTCATGTTTTACATCTATCCTTAATCATTTCTGAATAAAACTGTTATGGCATGTACCATACTATAGAGTATAGAATGAAATGAAAATTATATTTGATTAATTCTTTTCTGTTTTTGGCATGGTTTAGAAACAAGTTTAACTATGACTTTCAGATTCAAAAATGATTAATAAAAGGCCTGTATTCCAGTGTTTAAATGAGAGAAATATTTATGATGACTTGGAATGGTTATTTTCTATGTATTTATTATTTCACTTTAAGGTAGACGTATTGAGGCGATATTACAAAATATAAACCTGACAACAGCTAGCCTGTCACAGTCCGGTCTTATGAGTTTACGTACCCTAGCAAATCTTGCTCTTTCTCTACACACTAAGGATGCTTCAGACACAAGGTCAGTATATACTTTCATTGTTGTTGTTTAAGTGGTAAAAAGAAAAGCTACATTTACCCAAAATAAATATTTTCTTGTAAATGACATTAGTGTTGATATAATCTCAGAAGAAGACTTCAGTGTGATTAATTTAAGTATAAGACCTTGTGAAATAATCCAGCATAACTATGTTAAATCCTTACCATGCTTAATAAGTTAATATCTTAAATGGACTTGTCCATCTTTCAATCTGGATTAATCCATTGATCATTTTTAGGGAATTTTTCAAAAAAGTACCACAGCAGACAGGGCAGACTATGCACCAGATGGCAAAGGTTCTTGAATGTTGGTCAGAAGGGTCATAAACCCTCCCTTACATTGATAAACAACAAATTAAAGATAGTAGAACATTTTTGATCAGGGAAAACTTTGATTTAACTTGGGATGAAATTGCATGTTCTAATATTAAGATTGTGTAATGTATGAGATTAATGCTTATTGACATTACCCATAACATATTGAATTTTCTTAAATAGACTTGTCAAACTTTTGCTCTGTCCATTATCACTGTGAATATCTAGACATAAATTTAAGCTAGTATAGAGCCATGTCAGATTGTGTGAATGACTGAATGTACTTGCCTTGCTCTATCTAAAAGCTGATCACTTTCAGTTCGTTAACTTTAATATCAACATAGTAAAGTCCAGTTAATGTTTTACTTGTGTATGTTTTAGCTTCCTGCTAGCTCTACAACATCTCGAAGATGAGATCAGAAAAACTGAAGAATCTCGTCGTGCACAACAAAAAATACTCAACAATCTCATAAGAAAACTAAACTGCTGTCCTTAAATACAGTGCTTTGAAAAAAGTAAGTTTGATTTTCTATAAACATGTAAAATGCAGTCATCCATAAATTAATATAAGATTCATATATATATATATATATATATATATATATATATATATATTATATATAGTGTATTGTCGTGCAATTTTATTCCATTTTTTTGCTTAATGCATATAAAATTAAATGTTGAAAAATGCATGAAATTTCTGTTTCTTATAATTATACAGAATTAAATGGACAGATATGATTTTGATATCATTAATCTTTAGAAATTCAATAAAAATAACTGTAGATTAACCTGGGTGTTATAAGCTTAATGCCATTATATTTCCAATAAGTACTTGTTCTGTCAATTTTTTTGAAAAATTTGC